GGTCTCTTTGTTTTTCCATGCTAATTATCATTTCACTCTTGCTTGATACTCATCCATCAATGCACCGTGGAGTGTGCAATAGCCCTGACCAGGCAGTGTATTATCCTGGCTGGTTACAGAGTAGCAGAGTGAGTATGTTTTCAAAATAAACAGAGTACCTTGCAATCATTAAACAATGTTTGGGTTACTGACACTGTGCTATAAGTTACCAGACATCACTGAAGAACCAAGCAACACATTTATTGAATCTGCATCAGAAATGTGGAAGTTCATACGCAACTAGCATTGATATTACACATTTTCACGTGGTATCTTCTGGTACATATTGTGCTGCTTCATGTTGCTGCCTTGCTTTGTACAATACAAAACCATATAAGGTTCCATTTTGTGTCTTAACAGTCACAACTAAATAAGTTTTTCACAAATAAGACACAGAGCTCCAGGTGTATGAAGCACTGGAGCAAATAAGCAGAAACCTTAGTTATATATCAAAATGTTCTATAAAGGTAATGAGCCTCAGTTCATCAGGTTAATCAACACTTCTACAAAACCAGCAAAATACGATTACATCATTTATAACTGTCGGGGTTTCAGAGTTGAGTTATGCAACAACTAAGTGCACACCTATGAAGATAAATACATTGAATGTAGTGGGCAGCAAGCAGTTGATGAATTGACAGAAAAAATGTCTGTGTCTGACAGATGACACATGTTCATACAGTGTGCAGCAATGAATTGGGTAATTTGGCAACACTGAATATAGTCAGTTGTTGAGCAATAGGGAGAACGCTACTATTATCATCTTGCAGTCGCTGATTTACCATTCAGTTATGATGGGGCTGTGGAATGTGGAACACCTGGCATTCACTGTGAAAGCTTATTACAAAAGCAATGATAGTTACGTGTCAGTGCAGCACGTATTTCGGAATCATTTTAATAATCCACGTAATGACCTTGTTCCTTTTGCCCATCCAATCAAAACATGGATTAAAAACTTTGAGGAAACAGACTCTGCACTGAAGAAAGAAATTCGTAATGTAAAAAGTGTGTGTACACTAGAAAATGTTTCCAGAGTGGTGGGTGGTCTACAAAGAAAGCCTACCCGTTCACCTTGTATGCATGCGGTGTCACTTGGCATTTCTGATTTCAGCATAAAGAGGATTTTACACAAAGAACCCCACTTCCATCTGTATAAGATTCAGAGAGTGCATGCACTGAAGGATGTTGACCATGCAAACTGACTTGCATTCTGTCAACAGTTATTGAACATGATAAATGAGAATCCAGACCTTGTAAACAATCTTTTGATGAGTGATGAGGCACATTTCCACCTTTCAGGCTTTGTCAATATGCAAAACTTTTGCTACTGGTCAAGTGAAAACCCTCAAATATTCCTTGAAAAGCCACTCCAGTGTGGAAGTCACAGTCTGGTGTGCCATCTCATCGTTTGGAATTGTAGGACCTTATTTCTTTGAGGACCAGTGACAGGCTTACAGTTACAGTGCATTCACAGTGCTATGTTAGCATGTTAGAAAACTTTCTTGGGCCTCAATTAGCTCATCATCCTGTTAATGACATCACATTTTTTCAGCAAGATGGTGCTATGAGCCACACCCCAAGGGTTTTCATGAACGTTGTAAGGAATTTCTTTCCTAATTGTGTCATCTTGAAGAATGGGGATATACCGTAGCCTGCCAGAACACCCGATCTGTCGGCATGTGATTTCTTCCTCTGAGGGTACTTTAAATCATGAGTCTTTTAACCACTATCCCTACACAACATTCAGGAACTTCAAGAACAGGTCCTGGAAGATGTAGCTTGAACTCCTGTGGCCATGCTGCGCAATGTGATGAATAACCTATGCACAAGACTGACAGAGTATATGAACCATGTTTGTGATGCAATTTTTTAACTGTAAGGATTTTATTTTCATTTAGTGCATGGTAAATCAGCAAAGTAATACATTTTACTTCCTTATGGTGTACTCACAATTGCCCAATTCATTGCTGCACCCTGTACTTTCATGACATACACAACAGCCAATTTGGTGTATGTTTCTTTGCTTAGGCTTGCAAAGGACACAGACCGTTGAGAAAAAACTGAATTTTCAATGGGTATGATGCTGATAAAGGAACAGTACTCAGTGCAAGGTTGCAGTTTCTACATCATGATTTCAGTGCTGCTAAGAGGGGAAAGTAAGAGGAACAGCAATTTCTGAAGACAAGAGCCATGGACAACATTCCCTGGTCATATGGAAATGCAACCAAGTAACTGGAATTACTAACATAATATTTTAAGGCTGAGTTGTGTATTGTTGTAACCCATAACATTATTACAACCACAGCCAATAACCTATAGAGAAAGTTTTGTTTGTAACATAAATATCATATACCCATGAAGATGACACTATAGGTGTTGAAACATGTCATGTAAACTGACAATTGAAATGTGCTGTAATTTATGATATCTGATAAATAATACTAACCATATTCTCTCTCTCTCTCTCTCTCTTCAATTATGGTATGTATGAAAGCATAGCCAAACACTGAATCTGCTTCTCTTGTCTAGCACATGATGCATACAAGCTACATAATGCATAAAGTGGATTCCGAGCAAAACATCTGAGCTCCTGCCGGACACAGGAAACATAACTTCACATTCCACCAGTTTTAATGGTTTTGAAGTAGCAGCTGCACTGGAAGTGCCACATAATTTATTGTGTTACTCTCATGAAAATCTGTGACAATCCTTGAAAATATCAAACCAGAATATAACTCCTTATTTAAATTCTTCAAAGATTTTGTTAAAACTTTCCTAAATTATTAAGAAAAAATGCAAAAAACACTGGAAATAAATAATTTAACATTATCTGTACTATGCATCTTATAACAGAAAGAACGTAGATGTATCACTGCAGTGCAAGTTCATCTTGAACATATAATATTCAAGTTATATTTCCTTGAATTTGTATTCCTACATCCACATTATTAAAATCAGAACAATTTTGAAAAAATCTGTAATTATTTCTTGCTGCACAGCATTCAATGTAGTTATTACTCCTTCATGATTTCTCAAAACAAACTATGATTGCACTGTCCTGTTGTTAATCACAATTCTGCCCAGTGTTAAAGGCACACTGTAATATGAACAATTAAGTTTTGCCTGAGTACATGAATAGCAATAAGAATGATGTTCGATATGTTCTGCTCATTATGCTGACTGACAGCAGTGACCTGTCCCATACAGTACCGTACAAATGTTACAGTGCTTGCACAAGATGAGATACAGCGCCAAACTGTTAACTTCCATTATGTCACATTTCACCCTGATATCAAACACAAATTATAAAACCATACATTTTTATTTTCCTAGAGGCACCTGTAATGTTAAGAATGAAAATAAATACTGGTGCGATATGATACACTCCTGAAAAAGACCTGTGCCTCATTTTCTTGGTACTGCATATTTTCTGTCACTGAAATTTAATGATTATAAAAATACTGAATTTATGATAACCACGCTGCTTAATATTAAAAAAGTTCACCGTAATCAATAACGAAGTGAATCACGAAAATTCAGAACAAGATCTTTAAAATTCCATGGATGGATTCCTACTCAATAAATGATGAAACTTTTAGGAAACAGAAACCAGACTGAGGAAGTTAAACTGTTAAAATAGCTTCTTGCTGTTAGTTACATTCTTTGTCAAGTATCTAACATATTGAGCACCTTATTGTATTTCGTACAGTCATGATCACATTTCTGAGGAGCAAATCGTCTTCATCTTTGTCTTCGCGACCAAAGTGTAAGCCAGGCAAGAAATCACCAGACGCAGGCAGCAAGCTGAGTGAACTGTGCATGGAAAATCTGACCTGATATAAGCCACTCTAAGTGCGAAAGTTTGCTCCCTGCTTCTGGCAGTTTCTTGCTTGGCTTACTCTTTAACCTGAAGATGGAGGCAATATATTCCTCATAAATGTCTGGCTCTCTCTGAAGCTGTACATGGTACACCATGTTCAAACCAGAAGACCGTACTCATCAGCATACACCGAACCTTCGGTAAAGCTAATATGCCTTGTAATGAGGACTTCGTTATAGCGATAAAAACCACTGGAACTATCAATTTTTTATCATTACATATTCAGAAAACTACTGCATAAAACTGGGGGGTGGTAATGACTTATCTCCGTTCTCCTCAATTTCTGATCATTCAGAAAAATACATCACGTGACATCCCCTTAACATATTCTTTGCTCCAGTGGTTTGTTTCATTGTGGATTGTGGTTACTGAACAAAATTGGAAATTTTTCTATGTCTGTCCTTTGGGTTTAAGTTCAACCCTACTAATACTGGCAATGAAACAGAAGAGCTTAGATTTGCATAAAAAACTTGAAATAATTTATCTGTGTGAAGTCAGCAGGTTGCTAAAAAGCAAAACAGGAAGGCAATACGTATCAACTTCAGCAATATTTACAACACTGAAAACCACACTGGAAATATGGCCAGCTCTTCTGAGCAATGGAAATCCGGCAATGTAGAAATGAATGGGGAAAACAGAGGATGAAGATTTTGAATTTGCACTCTTCAGATGGTTTTGTCTGGAGAGTACAGCTGGTGTACCACTTGATGGACAAATGATAAAGGCAAAAGCCAACTATTTCATGACAAGATTAAAAACTGAGAACTTCCAGCATATATAATATGCCTGGCAAATCAGCTGCTATGATGAAGTTATTTTCATCAGGAGTGTGGAATTTAAATGTGTTCATTGGACTGTTTCGCTTAGTGGGGGGTGGAGTCCAGCTAGGTCCACTGAGCATGGCAGCCACTGATTGGCCTATTGTACTTGCCCTGGGTGATTATGATGGAGAATTTAGTGAAAGGAAGATCGGCAGGGGACACCGAAGTACTGGGAGAGAAAACCTGCCCCAGCGCCAGTTTGTCCACCACAAATCCCACTTGACCAGACCTGGGATCAAACCCGGGACGCCATGGTGGGAAGCCAGCGACTAACCACTTGAGCTATGGCGTGGCCTATTGAATTATTTTACAAAACTAGTTACTAGTTACAGTTACATGTACAGTTTACATGCCATTACTGTAATGTAGCTTACAGCCAAGTACAATGGCTGACTCACAATCAACCTTCATATACATAATGTCACAAATCTGTGTGTATTCCAGTCATAGCATTTCGAACCTGTAACACAGTCTATATACACAACTATTGATGTGGTTTTAACTACATCATGTGTTATGCGTTACTCAAGTTTAACTTTATTTTCACATGTATGCATGAGCTGTACAACAAACAGCGAGCAGAATGTGGATGGGAGATGCAGGCATCTAACAAACAAATAATGAGCTGCACATTTGCTTGTAGAGAGAGCATGGTTCATAATTAGCTCTCTGTTGTGAGCATGCAGAGGTCATGTTAAGTTCAAGAAAAATTTTAACTTTTCAGGTCAGATAATCCTAATAATGATAAGACAGTTAAATTATTCTTCGTTGTTTTCATATCTCTGTGACAATCGTTTCAAAGATGAATAAATATCGCAATAACAGAATCTTTTTTAACCATCATGCTATACTGTATTATACGTAATTGGAATTTCAGGGACGGACATGCAGTTACAGATTTCGACACTGTATATTGCGAGTATCTGTCAGAACAGCATATTTATGAATTTTACAGACTGTTGTAGTATCACGATTGGAACGTACATAAGTTTTGCGTCTATCACTTTATTCACAAATGATGCATCAATTAATGATGAGCCACAAAATCAAATTCAGAAACTTTAAATGTAGCACAGAATGTGTGACAGTGTGTACAGTGGATGGAAACATATATCACGTCCTGTTACTTGCAAAATACTTTATAAAATCATAAGCAATCTCACCTACCACACCGGACGACGGACATGGTTTTATTCAATAGTGTTTGTCATTACATACTTTACAAATGAACATTATTTTAAAGTAATGTTTCATTTTTTGGACTTGCAACAGTACTGTATGTGATCAGGTTACATTTTAATATATAAAAATTACCATTTGTTCATAAAAACAAAAAAATTATTTTCTTAAAAGTGTAAATATTCCAATTAGGAGTATAATGACATAAAAACATCCAGTGAAGAAGCATCACAAAGAAAGGTGCAAGTTACAAAAGTTTTAGTGACAACTGTGTTGTAAGGCCTCTGTTATGAAACTGGCAATGTTGGTTGCATCATGATATCAATTTATAATCATGTTAAGGCATAATCCAAACAAACAGCATAACAGTATACTTCATCTTATAACCATCTAAAAACACACAGATACTTAAATAGTGACAAGGAAAGTTCATATACAAATTGCACATACTGCTATCATGTTCAACGTTACTATTGAATAATGTAAATTTGAATAATGCTTTTAGCATTAAACATAAGGGTTAGTCTTTATTTTTTTGTTTTGGTGTTTCCTAACATTCCACATTCAAACATTACAGAATAGAAATATATTAAATATGATCACAAGTAGCACCAGCAACAGCTGCTGGTAAAAAAAAATTTATGGAACTGTAGGCAGAGAGTGAATGGTGAGAATCCCGTTAAGCAGAGTATATGGGCTGATGACAAGTTTCCTGTATGTAATTACAACCTAGTGTGTGTTCCTGTCTCACCTGTGGAACTCTGGAAGTGGCTTCACAATTCCTTCACTGTAGGCTCTGTGGACACTTTCACATACAAAGCGATACTGGCTCTGAAAATGAAAGTTAAAATAACCATAAACAATTAGGATTACTGCCTTCTGGGATGTGGCCTTGTGTGCCCAAGGCAAACCTCAAACGAGGGTTCCACTACTTGCCAGACCAGAGTTTCTTAACTGGTATGCCATGACATGAATCTAAGTGTGCTGCAATAGTTTGAATCTACATGTTTTCTTACACATTTAATTTGAGTTCACAAAGTTGGTGACAGCAGTGGGACGTTGTCCAGCCCTGTTTTCAGGTCATGCTTACATTTCCTAACTTGTTAACTTCAGTGCTTCATTACCTTTCTTTGCCATCTAATATTCACTCCAAAAATGATGTGTTATATTTGTCTGGTAAGTTTAAAGCCTACTGAAAACTAAATAAATTAGTGCACTGCATTGGCATGAAAATGGCTTCATACTATGCTTAAGTCAGTCATGTATATCTGCAGTAGCGCCATTTTCCTAGCATATGTTCATATCACTGTTTGTTCATACAATAAAACATAACTGGAGATCCAAAAGGCAGATGCCTAAAAGTTTCGAGATTAAAATTCCATGCCATCTGTTGGCGAAAACTTTACATATGAAGACAGGTTATTTCAAAATGATAACTCGTACATCTTGAGGCTGCCCAGAATGGAAGCTGTCTTCTTCCTTCACGAGTCAGACTTCATACTTCAATGCAAGGGCTTAAAACACAATAAAGTACTGGAGTATATAATTCACAATAACTGTTCATCTGTCTGTCACAGTCTGTATCTTGGGAACTAATAAGGACAGCAGGTATATGTAAATAGAAGTTACTTGTTTTAGGTAGGGAAACTCTGCAGTATTACTCATTTTTCTGTTACAGGCATAGGTTCGAGTATGGATCAATTTCTTGCTCCATTCTTTTCCCAGTCAGAAAAGCAGTGGGACTGTGACAACACTGAGTACTGTTATAATACAACCTCTTTACTACAACTGTCAAAACACAACAAATATCAAGATCAGTGCCTAGTTTCTGCTATCAATAGCCATCATCAGGCAAATGCAGGGTTAACATATATACCCCACTCAACTGCAGTACTAGAAAAATTGGATACAATATTATTATATAAAACACTTGACATAAAAATACAATAAATCAGATTACATAAAACAGAAGTTATAGTATAAAACAAGAATAAAATTCTTAGATTGATACTTTATATCATTGAATAAGTCGTTGGTTTTGTAATTTTGTTGGGTTCCCATGGACAAATTGGAATATCCTATATTTTGTGTATATAAAATTGTATAGGAGGCTTGTGATGTAGATGTAGTAAATTAATGTTAATCTGAAAATGATATGAAAGTAATAGTATTAAATTTTGTATAATCAACAGATTTTGGTATTGAAGATACAGTGTATTTTGCTTACTGTTTAGTCGGTGCCTCATCTTACAAAGTATTGTCCGTTCTGTATGGAATGTAAATGACGACTGATTTGGTGATATAAGATTAAAGTCAATGCAAGGGAGGGAGGGGGAGGTAGACATAAGGTGTATGCAGAAGTGGTGGTAGGGGGGAAGGGGGTATAACTGTATATTATGTTTTGTATGTATCAATTATTACATCATATATAGCGTTAAACATTTTGGTAAAATTATCATTCAGTTCCAAATTTAGTTTCCTGATTTCGTAAATGAGAAATCTTTCATATGTATCCAAGGTTCGGCCTTTCCTGCTGATATACAGAACTTCTAATGTCTTGTCTATCGTACTATATTCATGTGTGGTGTCCAATATATGTTGAGCAAATTTGGATCTTAGTCCGTAATTTTTTATGTCTGGTATGTGTTCTTTGAATCTGACCTTAAAGGTACTTCCAGTCTGTCCTATATATTTTAATGGACAGTCAGAACATTGTACTAAGATTATACATATAATTTTTGTCATCATTTATTTTCAACAGATGTTTTATATTGTTTTTTGTCTGTATTTTCCTGATGATGGCTATTGATAGCCGAAACTAGGCACTGATCTTGATATCTGTTGTGTTGTGACGGTTGTAATAAAGAGGTTGTACGTAGGTTATAACGAAAGCCAAGAGCAACTTCTTTTTGCACGCAACCTGGAACAGTAAACGAAAGAGAGTATGGTGGTATGGAACCAGCTGTTGTGTTAAACTTGAGTGCCTTGTGATGTCAATAGCTTGCATCACTCCTAACAAAATCGCTGACAACGATATGTTGTTTCGCCAGCGTGCTGTCATCGAATTTCTTGTGAAAGAGGAAATCCCTGCTGCAGAAATTCACCAGAGACTTCAGCGTGCTTATGGAAATGTGTGCATGGGTGCAAGCAGTGTTCAAAGATGGGTGAAATACTTTAAAAATGGGAACACCAGCATCGAAGATGAGCCTTGGAGCGGTCGTACTCGAACAGCCTCAATTGAACACAACAAGGAAAGAGTGGATGAGATCATTCAAGATGACAGGCATATGACTGTGGACACAATAGCCCAAAAACTTGGAATAGGGCACAGTGCAGTACAGGAGATGATTGAAGGCTTGGGCTATAGGAAAGTTTGTGCTCGATGGGTCCCGTGGTTATTGACCGAAAACCACAAAGGTCAGCGAAAAGCCATCACCTCAGAACTGCTGCAGAGATATCGACACGAAGGCGGCGATTTTTTGCTCTGTATTGTGACAGGTGACGAAAGTTGGTTTAGCCATTTCGAGCCTGAAACGAAACGGCAGATTATGGAATGGCACCATTTGCACTCTCCATCAAAAGAGAATGAAGAGACACTGCCATCAGCTGTGAAGGTGATGGGCACAGTCTTCTGGAATGCAGAGGGCTTTATTCTGGCCGAATTCCTGGAACCTGGGCAAACCATCAATGCTGCTCATTATGTCCTGACGCTGCACAAGCTCCATCATGCATTGCGCAATAAACGTCTGGGATGAAACATCATCATCTTGCATGACAAAGCTCACCCCCACTCCGCTCGCCTCACATTGGAAGCAATTGCAAAGATGGGGTGGGAAGTTCTTCCACACCCCTCCTATAGCCCTGATCTGGCACCCTCTGACTACCATCTTTTCGGATTTGTGAAGGCTCAGCTGTGTGGACAACGTTTTGAGACAAGGGAGGCAATTCAGAAAGCAGTGCGTCAGTGTCTTCGGATGGCTGAAACGGAATTTTACAGAAGGGGAATTTTCAAACTCCCAGAACGCTGGGAGAAATATGTACAAAGAAGTGGCGATTATGTGGAAAAATAAAGAAAGGTCTTTAGATTGAGGTGGTGTATTTGGTTTGTCAATAATAAAGCATGTTACTTTACAAAAAATTGTTGCTCATGACTTTCACTACGACCCTCATATATTGTAACAGGATGCATAAAATGAAAATTACTGTTATAATCACTAAGAAACACTTTTTGTACATTTTAATTTAATGTGAAGTCTTATTACAATATAAGTTACACAAGTACGGTAGCAGAAAAGAGTACTGTATTGCCTAATGTGGAAATGTCAGCTTATGGAGTGTTCTGATTTCTTTCATGAAGATGAATGCGGAAGGTAATGAATGATTACAGAGACATGCTGGAGGACATAAAGACTTAACCATTTCTTTTATAAAGTTATTTTTGACTGAATTTGTTGCTGTTCTGCACTTTGTATTTATAGTTTAAACATATATGCCACATTTCTGTAACAGTAAATTTGCAATATGTGCCGCCAATTTTATGATCATGTTTTATAATTTCTGTGAGGGTGAAATTCCATAACCAAATCATCAAACCAATGCAATGTCTACTATTAACACTGCTTATAACTGACTCACCTTACTTCCTACACACCACTGAATATCTCAGAATATTTCCATGTCAAAGGTAAAGTTGAAGTGATGGCTGCTTTAACATTCTGGAGGTAATATGTGTACATCAGAAGCCAGTACTTAAATACTCACAGCTGTCTGTATCATCATGGTCCTCTGATCTCGCATTGCCCGTACGATGTCGAGTGGGTACACGGGTTCATTAGCTTCTATAAGACACATTGCAGTCTCCATCAGTATCAGCACTCCAGTACGTCCAATACCAGCTGAACAATGGACTACTGTCGGCTCCACCATGCCCACTCTTGCCTTTCGAACCCTTTCTGTGAACCCCAGGAATTGAAGAGAGTCATCTGGTACACCATGGTCAGGCCAGGCGAGGTACTGCATGTGGCTTATGTGCCGCTCTTCTTCAGTCTGTAATAACAAAGAGACAGGAGAATGGAAAATTGAGATCAACAGTTTAACCTGGGGTTCCTGCGGCAGTGATCATGAAGGGTATGGTGTTTTTGGTCATAATGCTGCATGGATCAGAGTCTGATATTTCAGTGGAACATATAGCCTCCATCCTGATGCCTGCTCCTGCGTGGTTTATTATTCAACCATGAAAACAGAAACGATATGTCCCTCTGGAATATGTGGCTCTCTGAACTACACAGCATTACAACTCAGAAAGACACACTCTTAGGATTAGAGCCATCTGGGATGTGACTCTGTGCAGGTTTGAAGGAATCTGGTGCCTGAGTCTTCATAGTAAGAGACGTCAAACTGTTTCTGACAATCACATGCTGCAACATGACTATTATTTTTGATATTATCTACTCTCCTGACTTTTTCCAGTCACAGTGTTTGGGAAAATGGAGGTGGAGGGGACAAAAGGTTCCTACTCCATCAGACCTGTCACAAAGAGCCAGGAGGGACAGAGTCACTGCTGTGAGAAGGCTCAAATCACACACAGTGACTAAATCTGTGTGAGTGACAGTCTGTCATTCAGACAGAGATAGACATAAAGCTCCAATCACACAAAACTAAATCCAGCCAAACTTCTCTCCACTGTAATACTAAGAATATAAAAGTCAATGAAATTATCAACTCATACACATAAAAAGTAAAAAAAGTAAAGCTATCCCTGTACCAGGCCATACGGTTGTGAGACACTGAGGGTCCCACATTATCTACTCGTAGACAGTCAGCTCATAGATGGCGGTAAGGTCACACACATTTTATTACTAACTATTATTACATTATTTGTTAGAATGTAAGTACTTCAAATAAGAGAGCCTTCTACTAACAGTTTCACCATTATAAATCCAACACTATGTGCCTCTCATAATATCACCTGAACATTCAGTACATGTACATGAGCAAGCATACAGCACAGACAGCAAAGCTAGAGTGATGCTCATTGGTTCAGCTCTCATCGTGTGTCAATCAGTCATAGTGCAGATGTCACCTGCCAACTGCTCTCAATCTTAATACAGCATACACTGATCAAGGACTTCTTGCTGAGACTAAAGCAACGTATGATATATAAAGTTCCCTTAGCAATGAATATTACTAGGATGTGACACTATGCACAGCAAAACCTCAAGTTAAGGGACCTACATTTAAAGTACATTTTTGTGGTCCCAGATGAGACTCCACATGCTTAATGTTCCCTCAATTTGATGTTTCTTGATTTCAGGGTGTAGTAAACTTTTATTCCTATGCATGTTTCAGATCTCGTCTTAATATTCCGTGTTCCAACTTGTGTGTGTCCACCCTTGGGTAATTCTAAGGTCATATTTTGCACGGTATACAACACAATGTGGCTGTCACTGCCCATTCTTTGTTCATCTTCTGTGTCAATTGTAAGTGGTTAAAAGTTAAAACTATCCCTGTAACAGGCTGTGAAGGCCCATAGGGTTGTGAGACATTGAGGCTTCCACATTTTCTAGACCATCGGCGCACAGATGGTGGTAAAGTTGTCAGCCCTATGCGCCAGCTGCCCTTTACTCCACCAGGAAGATTCCTGGTACTCATTTCTATTAGAGGCTGAGCTAACCCCAAGGTCACAGTGTGGCTGGAAGGATTACGCCAATTTAAGAAATCCAGCGACTTTATCAGGACTCGAACCAGCAAACCCTTCAGCTTGCAGCATGGTGCCTCAATCAAATATGGCACCGCGTGGCCCCAGAAGTGGTTACTGTTTGTTTTTATTATGTGCTGCATTTTAGTGTCACAGTTTTTTTTGGAAGTCAATTTGAGGTAATCAATGGCCATGATGTTGAAGAGAAAGAACAATAAATGAGAAAGTGATAATTATTCATGAGACAGAAAAGAATCTGTCACAAAAAGAAACTGAGAACTGTTTTGTGCTGCCTCCATGATCATTAAGCAGCAGAATTATATGAAAAGCTTCAGTTCTTGAAGAGCAAAGTTGGTGTGAAGTACATTCTGAGAAATGAAAAAACTTTTACTTATTAAATGAATGAGGTTCAGTGCCTTATTACTGGTTTAATTAAGTTCGATAGTCATTTCAGGCTCCCCCATCCCTTCCCTCCAAACCATTTAAGGTACATGGATTGATCCAGACAAACCTTGCATCATGGTTTCGCTACAGCTTTGTAGATAGGTACCAACATTTAACAGGAACCTACTGCCTCCATCTTCAGGGAAGAAGAAACATGAGCGGGGAGGCCCTTTGAACCTATCCTTTTCAATATTATCTTCCTTCCTCCTCTCATGTTTCTTTCTCTCCTTTACCCATACCTTCTCCTTTTTAAGTTTTTTTTATTGCTAGTGGGATGGGACTATGTCCCTTGTACTGCAGCCAATTCTGGCCTATAGTACCAGCCCCAGATGATAGGTGAGGGTGATTGTGGAGCAATTGGTGGAATGAAGATTGACAGGGAAACTTAAGTATTCGGAGAAAACCTGCCCCAGTGCAACTTTGTCCACTACAAATCCCACTTGACCAGACCTGGGATTGAACCCAGGAGACCACGGCGGGAAGCCAGTGACTAACCGCTTGAGCTATGGTGCGGCCTCTTCTTTTTAAGTTTCTACCTTCTCTCTCTATTTCCTGCAGTTGCATACTTGCCTCACTTAAGAGGCATGCTCCCCCCTCAGAACAGCTCAGAGTCCTGTACCAAAATTCCCCTCCCTATTTCTGTACCATTTCTCCCCACCCTGTCTGCTCTCCCTTACCCTGGAGATGAAGGTAGAAGGTTCCTCTGAAATGGTGCTACACTGGACTCAGTGTAACCAGAAGCAGGAAGTGTTCTGCATGTCGCTACATATGACCTCAGGTAAAAACAAGTACCACACACCTGCAGTTGCTGATAACTCTTCTGTAATTCCATGACCTCATATAATTTTCCATCACTGTCAGACTAATATTCTGTGGGACCCTGACATTACAAATTGAAATTAACAATTCCTTTCTTAGGGAATAAACACACAAGAAATATTACCTCCAAGTTGGTTAGCCGAAACTCCCTAAACACAAAGCTGCCTGTTGGTTCTACCTCCTCCTTTGTGCAAGTAACATGCAAATGGCCCAGTTCTAAGGTCTGCAGCAGGGTAGGCCAATACTGATGACATTTTGTTCGTCCTCGCTCAACAAGGGGTGTCACCATCACCACCAGGGTGCTCTGTGCTTCTACAACCATCTGCCAGAAGTCTACAACAGTGTTTGGAAGTGGACCTAGAATCAAAGTGGGCGCAGAGCATTTCAGGATCAGAATCATTAGATTTTGTAGACTTTCATACAACAATGTAAATTTCACACATCAACTTACAACGATTCATCACTAGTGTAAGTGGAGCAATACTGTGACATGATACCTGAAATGTGAAACAGCAGAGGCAGAAGAGGCAGCCATTGCTAGGCAATGGTGTGATAAACATGTTTCTGTGGCAACAAGTACACCCGCAACAATAGAAGAACAGTGGGGAAGCAGTGATTTCTGTGCAGTCCATGACAAGGCTATATAATGAGGGCCAATAGGACAAGTTAGTTAGTTGTGTCAGCAGTTGCAGTTGGCTGTAAGAGTAGAAGCAGGAAAATCTTCATTGTTAGAGGCCACTGTGAAGCAACAACCAGTGAAGAGAGAACAAGCCAAAAAGATTTATTTAGTCTGTACTACAGTGTTTTGTAGAGTGCGCATGTTAGTGAAGGTGTTATAGTTATTTGTAGTTGCTAGTCACAAGCATTCAATAAATCCAATTATCAATCCAACTCAAGTGTCTGATCACTTACATGTGACAGTATTATTGAAACTGTGGCACAGACAATTAATCCGTACAGATAGATAAGGCAGACACTGCAAGTCAGCCAATAAACTTCACTCTGCAATGCTGCTGTAGTCTTACTATTGCCACAGTGACTGCACACCATGCATGGTCACAGTTATCAGTGTGACTGCTGTCACTGTTACTACAATAATAATTCACTTCAACTGAATTCCTTACGTTTATGTACTAACTGAACAGCTGCAGGAACCAATTTACATACTTAGCAAAATCAAAAAGAGAAAGAAGCAATAGAGGAATATATGGCAGATACAAGATACTGTGATGTGTATACCCACTGCTAGGCAATGACTCTATAAGCACCTTCCCACGAAGCATATGCATGCAATATTGCTAGGTAATGGACCAGTAAACATGCATCATTAATAACAGGAGACAGAGTTTTCTGTGGGGTCCGTGCTGTGGGCTTATAAAAGGATACAGTCAGAAGATGAGATAGAGTACAATGGAGTATACAACAGTAGCTGAGGGTAGTCAATTCAAGTCTTCAGAACTGGCAGCTGCAGATATTGGCAAGAAAGGAATTAGGCAGTGCAAAGAAGCCTTCATGTGGGGTTTGAAGTTACAGTGAAACTGTGATATGTTCATTGCAAGATATGGCTAGTAAAGACTGAGAACCTTAGTGCATGTGGAACGGTGAACTGTAAAGCGTGTACAATAGTGATAGTATTGTATTGCCTGTAGTTCCGAATTGTGTGAATGTATAAGGCGCACTAAATCCAATCATCCAATCCAAAACCAGTCTTGTAAGTCACCAAGTGTGACAATATTCTACAGCATATGCAGCACAAGCATTAATTTATAACAGCAGTTGAGCATAACAAAACACTATAACTAGTGAGTAAACAAATTAAGCGGAAGACTTATGTTCAAGAAATGATGGTTAAACATTCTAACATTGTCATATACTTCATCTGTAGCTAATACGTGCAGTTTTAAGTTGCCCACAAACATAATTATAACCGTATGAAGTATGATTTCTAAATAATTTGTCGCTATCATCATCACCATTAATACAGTACATTTCTAATTTAAGAGTTCTGGGGTAATATCATACTATGATCATACGCCTTATTTAAGTATCGCCATTGTTGTCATCACCAGTTACCAGCACTGAATAACAGGACGACCAGGGAACAATTAACTGGAAAGGACGAGACAAGAAGCTGTTATATAACATCAGGTACTATCTCACAATTTGTCTGGACACACTAAAGAAAACCATATGATACCTAGTCTTCAGTCTGAGATTCGAACCTGGGACCTCAAGAATATGAAGCAGGGGTGCCAACCACTCAACTGTGAGGTAGCCTTTGTTTGACAAAGCTATTAAGATCACAATATTATCTGCTGTGTTTACACTATACCTATATTATACTGCATACCTTGAGTCGCAATGTATCTGTTTATGATGCCTGAACCAGGAATTTCCATGTTGACATAATTGGCATTAATGTAGTCTCCAGATGTTCCTCCCATAAGTATAACTCTGGTTACATCATCTGTAACAACATAATCATTACATGTGCTACAATTACAGCAGCAGCAGCTCTGTCTTATGCATACGAGGAGGGACCCAAAAATAACCGGAATTTATTTTTGATATTTTTTATTTTTGCATTTTTATTGAACTGTATATTAGTCCCCTTCAAAGTATTGTCCATGTGCATTAATGCACTTGTCCCAACGCTTTTACCACTGCTCAAAACAGTGCTGGAATTCTTGAGGCTGGATACTGTTCAAAGCCTTTAGCGTGTTTTCTTTGACTTCATCCACATCACGGAATCGCTTTCCTTTCAGACTTCTCTTCATCCGTGGAAACAAAAAAAAGTCTGACGGAGCCAAGTCGGGTGAGTAAGGTGGATGAGGCACAATCACCATGTTGTTGCTTGTCAAAAACTGTCGGACCGTCAAAGCTGTGTGGGCTGGAGCATTGTCGTGGTGAAGCAACCAGTTCCCATTTCTCCACATTTCGGACCGTTTTCGTCGCACACTCTCTCGTAATCTTCGTAACACATCCAGGTAAAAATGTTGGTTCACTGTTTGTCCTGGCGGAACGAACTCTTTGTGGACAATGCCATTCACATCAAAAAAACAAATCAACATTGTTTTCACATTGGATCGCACTTGACGCGCTTTCTTCGGTCGTGGTGAAGTTGGAGTTTTCCACTGGCTTGATGATTGCTTTGATTCTGGATCGTACCCGTAGCACCAAGACTCATCGCCAGTCACAATTCTTTTAAGAAATTCTGGATCGTTCTGCACTTCACTCTTCAAGTCGCAGCAAACATTCACGCGGTTTTCTCTTTGGTCATCTCCGAGCAAGCGAGGAACAAATTTTGCAGACACCCGTCTCATGTGCAAACCTTCGGTTAAAATTCGCTGGACTGTGCTCCATGAGATGTTCGTTTCCTCAGAAAGTTGGTCAATGGTCTTTCGACGATCTTCATCAATTGCACGTTTGATTTTGGCAATGTTTTCGTCATTTCTTCCTGTCGAAGGACGCCCGGGGCGTGGCATGTCTTCTGTTGACATGTTGCCAGATTTGAAACGGGAAAACCACTCGTAGACCTGTGATTTCCCCAAAGCATCATCATTAAAGGCTTGCCGAAGCATCCCAACAGTCTCGGCTGCAGTTTTCCCTAACAGAAAGCAAAATTTCACGCACACTCTTTGTTCCTTCTGGTCGGCCATCTCACTAATCGCCAAAGGGTTGAAACAGGAACGCACACAACAGAGCACCACAGACAAACCACTTAACTCAGACTGACGCCAGCTCACTAACAGTCGCGGGAGACCCCCAGCTAACACCACCTAGCAGCACAACTCGTAACTACAAAGCATGCGCGCGCAACAGGTTGGTTCCGGTTATTTTTGGGTCCCCCCTCGTATTCTATAATGAGACATCCTCTGTCCTGACAAGATATGAATTAAGTGAAGTAACCTTCTCAATGAAAGGTCTTGATATGGTCCAAAAAATCTTCACCCTAAATCTTTTGTGGAGATTTTGCTTAACCCTCTGCATGCCATTAACCAATTAGATCAGCTTGTGTACCTGAGCACTTTTGTCAGCAGATGGCACTGAGTGTTCAAAGGACAGGCTTTCACACTACTATATTTGTGGTTGTTTGAAGGTCACCTACAAAAAGAACTGTGGGTTCTTCAGTGAAGTGCATTCACCCCCAAGCATCCCTGGTGTTTCTAGCAGTCATTTGAATGACAAAGCTCTGGAACCAAGGGGTTCAGTAGACACAGTGTGAAGCTCTATATGCTCAAGACATGTTTCATAAAATTTCCTACAAGGATAGCGCAGAACTATACATAAATCATTATTCTGACACTTCCAGTTATGGCTTTCTGACCTTTGCGGTTTATGCCTGCCCAGTGAGGAAGAATGAAATTACTTCTGAGGATTCTACGTCATAAGGCAAGATAACAGCACAGAGGACCTCCACTAACTGTAATGCCCACTATTCCCACTGTCTACAATATTCTGATTTTCAGACGAGTGCTGAGGACGCTATCGACAGCGAATAAATGAGATCTTGCTCCCAAATACCTCTGATATGAGAATTCAGGAATGTGAACTGCTAGATATTCTTGTTAAATACATTAAAAATCAAATGATACTCAGCAGATATTAAAATAATAACAGGTGATCAGTTAGTATAGAAATTCCCAGAATTTTATGGAACCTGAAAGTTCATTACCCTGTTTACATGATTCTCTCACTGATCCCTATCCTAAGCCAGACAAATCTAGTCCATACTCTCTGAGTCTACTTCTCTCAGATCCATTTTAATATTATCCTGCAATCTACAATAAATATATCCATAAGACTGTCACAACAAAGAGACAACTGAGTGAGAAATGGGAACTTTTGCTTGACTGCATAAGAAACAATTATTGGACAAAACACATACATGGAGAAATGTCTCGGTATCTATTCTTGTTCTGATTTTCACTCTTCTTGGCTTCATCTGTTAGCAGGCCTGGTTTCTTACGATACAGCTGTTCAAATTGTGCGACTAGCGCTCCGCTGGCCAGACCATCTGCAAGAAGCAACATGGACTCTGCTAAGGCATCTGCCCGATCGGCTACAGCAGTCACATGGGGCAAGTCAGGAACATACTGATATGGCGGCTCTTCTTCGTCACGGGCTTCATACACAGCTAAAAGCAAATGATATAACTCATTATTACACACCTGAGAATGACACACAATTTGACAATTTTGACAAGTCTTCAGAACCGAGATGAAAACAACAATTTTCTCTACTAGACAAAGTTTGTCACCATAATCACAATTAATAACACTAGCCACTCACAATGCAATGAATAGTACTTTTGATATCAAGTCCCTCAGATCCCTCTTCAATGAAAACTTTTTCATAAATCACTGTTTAATGTGTAGGGGAGGTTTTATCAACATAGCTCTTGTATATGATTGAATTAACTGTACACAGCTGTTCATCATCACATACATTCCAACCTATTGGTTACCATCAGGCAATTTTTACGTTTATTGTCAGCTCTGATATTAGCTATATACTGGCCACTATTTACAGGTTTTGGACCTATATGTGTAATACAATTATTAAAAGAAATGTACATACTTCAATGGCCGAGTTGATTTGATGCATTCTGCTCCAACTTGTTAAAATGTTTTTTGTTACATTTTGACTTTTAGGCTGCCTAAAATGTCTTGTCAGTTTTATCAACTGATTTACTTCAAATGAAGTTCGCCTAGCTCAGTTGGTACAGTGACAAACCATGAGCTGGACAACTGGGGTTTGAATCCCAGAAGAGGCAAGATTTTTCTCTTCTCCATAACATCTAGATACGGTCTGGGGCTCCTATCCAATGGGTACTGGGGGCTCTTTCCACACAAGTAAAGGGGCCAGGGCATGAAGCTGACCACTTACCTCCATTTAGTGCTGAAGTCAAGAATGGTAGAGCTATACCTCCACTCATAGGTGCACAGTGCTCAATTAACTAAGTACAGAAATAATTTACCCTTTGCTTGAAATGTAATATGTGGATGGTGGAGAATTAATCAGCATTTAATACAGTGGACTATTGTGTTAATTTCTTAGATGCTTCATATCAACAATTTAATACATATTGTTTTGTTTCTGTGTTCAATTCCTGAACTGCCTCTTTCAATTTTTAACTGGCTACTCAGTCAAGATGTTTCCTGTTATGCAGTTTGAATCTTTTATCTTCTCACCTGTTACCTAACTTACTTACTCATGGAGCTGAGCCCTTCTGGAGGAGCTGCCAATTCTGCAGCTACTCAAGAATTTCCCAGCATTTTATGGAACCCGAAGGTTCATCACCATGTTCAGAAGAGCCCTCCACTGGTCCCTATCCTGAGCCATATCTATCCAATCCATACCATCACATCCTGTCTCTCTAAGATCCATTCTAATATTGTCCACCCACCTACGTCTTGGTCTTCTCTGCTGTCTCTTTCCTTCTGGCTTTCCCACCAGTATCCGATACGCATTCCTAGTCTCCCCCATTGGTGCTACATGCTCTGCCCACCTCATCCTCCTTGACTTGATCATTCTAACTATACTTGGAGAATAGTACAAGTTATGAAGCTCCTCATTATGTAGTTTTCTCCAACCTCCTGTCACTTCATCTCTCTTCGGTCCAAATATTCTCCTCAACACTCTGTTCTCAAACACCCTCAGTCTATGTTCCTCCCGTAATTTCAGAGACCAAGTTTCACACCCATACAGAACCAAAGGCAAAATTATAATAGCATGTTAGATAAAACTGCATCAGTTCCAGAATCTGTACTCCTCACCAAATATTATTCAAATAATCAAGCCAAGAAAGATGACACTGAAAGGACATGTAGCATGCACGGGAGTGGACACAAAGTTTTAGTAGGAAAACCTTAAGTAAAAGCAGCACCTCTCTGATGATACAGATGGGAGGATAATACTAAATGGATCTTAGAAAAATAGGTTGGGGGGATGGACTGGATTCATCTGGCTCAGGATAGGAACACATGGTAAGGCTGTAATAAACATTCAAGTTCTATAAAATGCTACAAATTTCTACATTGGTTGAGCAACCGTTGGCTCATTATGAACTCAATCATAGGGAGTTAGTTCTGTAGGGTGACAACTGTTTCCAGTTTCCTCTGATGTGATGTTTCCATTGTGGTTTTTCATGTGTGTGTATGTCTTCCTACAAGCCTATATGTTTTTCTTGTTTGTATTGGTTTGCTGATGTGATTTACTGCTAGTTATTAATCTCAGGGTAGACACTGTTGAGGAAAAGGCCTATGTGGAACTGCATAGACAACCTAACAAAATTAACAAGTTTTAACAAGAGCCATTTTAAACATACTGGGGCAAACACAATGAATTCAATCATTAGAACTTTATTATACAAACAGATCCAAAACCTGTAAACACTGGCCAATGAACAGCTAACAACAGTTAAGATAACAACAAAAGTAAAAATTGCCTCATGATAACCATTAGGCTGAAACATATTGTGATAATGAACAACTAAAAGTAAGCAAAATGTAAAGTAAAGGTATCCAGGGTTGTGAGATGTTGAGGTTCCCAAATTTTCTAGACAATTGGGTCATAGATGGTGGCAAGGTCGTCAGCCCTACGCGCCAGCCGCCCTTTAACCCCAAGAATATTCCTGGTACTCATTTCTGTTAGAGGCTGAGTCGACCCCAGGGCCATAGTGTGGCTGGAAGGATTAGGTCAATCAAAAATAATCCAATGACCTCACTGGGACTTGAACCTGCGACCTTCCGGCTTGTAGCACAGTACCTCAACCAACTATGCTACCGCGTGCCCCTGATAATGAACAACTACATACAATTAATTCAACTACATACAGTAGCTGTGCTGATGGAACCTCATGTACACCAATCATAAAAACACAACATGATGCTCCATAAATCATTGAGTGTAAAAAAAATTCAGTTTTAGAGTCATGTCACTTTACACCATGGGCAAAAAAGAGAGACAAAGAATTTGCTGACAAGTTGATTCACACTGGCACTGCCAACTATTATGATTCTGATAATAGATCATGCAGTCTGCAAGCTACTGCACAACCAAAAGTAATTACCTGAAAATCTTCAAAACTTTAGAAAAATCAATGTTCAAATCAAGACAAATGTTGTATTTGAAGATACACACCACTGGGTTTTACCATGAGTATCAGCTCGCCCGGGGGAGAATCCCTGGATGCTCGAATCAGGTTCACTACCTGCTCGTGCATCATGCCAGAAACATCATGGTGGTTTATGAAGAGCACTTGATCACCCTCATTCAACTTTGGGTAGCAGCGGTCTGCAGGAGTATTAGGGACAACTCGTGACACCAGAATGGGCATATTCAGATCTGAACCACCCTTCACATTGAATCCAAACCTCCCTTGTTCATCAGGAGTGATCCTGATTAGAACCAATCCTTCTTCTGCTGCCTAAAACAAAGAAAAAATTAAATGCCCAAAAAGTATTCTAAAAGTCAACAGTATGGTCCTGAAGATGGTGGCAATACTGGATGATACAGTATACAGCATCACATCCCCAGGAGATCAAATTCTTCCTAGTCACCACTGTTGGAACCTTGAATACAACAATTCAAATGTGTGTAACAATATTAAGAACCATATTAAACATTTAATTAATAAGGCAAAACAAATCAACAGGAATCATTGAATGAGACTGTAAAGTTAAGTTGAAGAGGTGGGAATATGTCCATAGTATCCTCAATTGTTCATGGGTTCAAAATGCTAGATTGCTGGACTTGCAAGCAAAAGAAAAGAATTATTTTTTTATTGCTAGTAGCGTGGGACTAAGTCCCTTGTACTGCGGCCACTTCTGGCCTACTGTACCAGCCCCAGGTGATAGGTGAGGGTGACTGTGGAGCAATTGGTGGAATGAAGATTGGCAGGGGAAACCGAAGTACTCGGAGAAAACCTGCCCTAGCACCACTTTGTCCACCACAAATCCCACTTGACCAGACCCGGGATAAAATCCGGGCCGCCACAGTGGGAAGCCAGCGTCTAACCGCTTGAGCTATGGCGTGGCCCTTAAAAGAAAATAGAATCCACACACAAAACAAAATAACTGTTTTAAAAGCAACTTGTCCAATATACACTGGGGAGTTCAAGCACACATTCTCTGCATCGACGGCTGCTATCATTCATGAGACTGTGTGCTTTCTCGATGTCAAAGATCCCTACTACATTCATACTTCAGATATCAAAATATAAAGCATTCAAAACAAGAGGCTGGTCACATATTTGTCCTTAAACCTTGACTCTTCTCTTAGCTGTAGTCAGCTCATTCTGGAAGAAAAGCTGTGCACAGAATAGCAACTAAAATACTGACGTTAATTCTGTGAACTGAAATTTTACTTTTCAGCTATACATAGAAAGATAGAAATTTTAAAAAGATCTGGCCAAATGTTAGAGATAATGCTCCTAAACACACCTAACACAACCAATTTTGTTCTCATCCTTATGGATTTGACTACTACAGTTATCAGAAAGGGTGAGTAGGGCTGAATAAGAAGCCAGCCTATCCAAGGTGATGCAATGTCTCCTCCTATTCCGAGTGCTCTGCATTTCCTCTCTTCAACCACCAATGTAATCCAACTGCACAAAGAACTTCAGAGATCTTAGCACACTCTTGAGGAATGAAAATATTTACCAATTTTTCACAGAGATTCAATGTAGGTGCCTGTGTTTCCAGTAGTAAATTCTTTAGTAAGAAAGATAAGATAAGAAAGAGAAAAATCTCAAATAGATGTTATACAGAACTGAATCAGAAAATGGTATTTCATTACGTGGTGCAATCCAAAAGTTCCTGAAATTTGAATGTTGCGAACGAGCGGTTATGAGTACATCGAAATACTGCTAGGTGTCTCCCCACACACCCTTCTTGAATCAGTGTGGCAAGCAGCATTGAGTTAAGTGGTTGGGTTTATTGTTGGTGAACGTATTTCCATTATTGTTTCTGTGAGTTTGCAGTTTTGCGATGGCTGACCTGAGAGAGCAGCGTGTCTGTATAAAGTTTTGTTTTAAACTCAGGAAAACCACTGCAGAAGCGCGCCAAATGTTGAAGCAAGCTTTTGGTGACAACACTTTAGGCCAGACACAAACTTATGACTGGTATAAGCGTTTCAAAAATGGCCGAACATTGACTGATGATGATGATCGTTCGGGACGGCCATCAACTGGCACTACACCAGAAAATGTCACGTAAGATAGGGATCCGATTCTGCAAGATCGTAGACTGACCATCCAAGATCTCTGTAATACCTTGGGACTAAATTATGGTACATGTCAACGAATTTTGTCAGAGGAACTGAACATGATGAGGATTGTGACAAAATTTGTGCCACGACTGCTGCAAAATAAATAGAAGCAACATCGCTTGGAAGTCTGCAGGTAACTTCAATAACAGCTTCAAGAGGATCCAAACCTTCTTTTGAAGGTTGTCACTGGTGACAAAAGACCCTGAAAGTAAGCAGCAATCATCGCAATGGAAGAGCCCTTCTTCACTTCAGCCAAAAGGAGCTCAACAAGTCAAGAGCAACATTAAGTCATGTTGATCTGTTTTCTTTTATATTGACAGGCTTGTTCATAAGGAGTTTGTCCCTCCTATCGCGATGTTCTAAGGCATTTAAAGGAGGACATGAGGATAAAACGTCCAGAGAAGTGGCGCATGAACGACTGGTACTCCACCATGACAACGCACAACCGCATATGGCTTACATTGTGCAAGAATTTTTGGCTAAAAACAAGATGGCAGTTGTTCCCCACCCACCGTACTCACCAGACTTAGCTCCATGCGACTTCTTTTTCGTCCCCAAGATGAAAATCAAGTTGAAGGGGCGAAGATTTCATAGTTGAGGAAATTCAAGTGGAAACGCGCTCCCAATGGGACTACTTTGAAGATGATGGTGAAAATTAGATCCAGGTAAGACATAATAGTTTTTATTAATATATTTTGGGAACTTTTGGATTGCACCATGTATTTATAAATATTTTCTGCAATCTCATATATATATACACACGAAGGGGGACCCAAAAATAACCGGAACCGACCTGTTGTGCGCGCATGCTTTGTAGTTACGAGTTGTGCTGCTAGGTGTTGTTAGCTGGGGGTCTCCTGCGACTGTTACTGAGCTGGCGTCAGTCTGAGTTAAGTGGTTTGTCTGTGGTGCTCTGTTGTGTGCGTTCCTGTTTCAACCCTTTGGCGCTTAGTGAGATGGCAGACCAGAAGGAACAAAGAGTGTGCGTGAAATTTTGCTACCCGTAGCACCAAGACTCATCGCCAGTCACAATTCTTTTAAGAAATTCTGGATCGTTCTGCACTTCACTCTTCAAGTCGCGGCAAACACTCACGCGGTTTTCTCTTTGGTCATCTCCGAGCAAGCGAGGAGCAAATTTTGCAGACACCCATCTCATGTGCAAACCTTCGGTTAAAATTCGCTGGACTGTGCTCCATGAGATGTTCGTTTCCTCAGAAAGTTGGTCAATGGTCTTTCGACGATCTTCATCAATTGCACGTTTGATTTTGGCAATATTTTCGTCATTTCTTCCTGTCATAGGATGCCCGGGGCGTGGCATGTCTTCTGTTGACATGTTGCCAGATTTGAAACGGGAAAACCACTCGTAGACCTGTGATTTCCCCAAAGCATCATCATTAAAGGCTTGCCGAAGCATCCCAACAGTCTCGGCTGCAGATGTCCCTAACAGAAAGCAAAATTTCACGCACACTCTTTGTTCCTTCTGGTCGGCCATCTCACTAATCGCCAAAGGGTTGAAACAGGAACGCACACAACAGAGCACCACAGACAAACCACTTAACTCAGACTGACGCCAGCTCACTAATAGTACAAACTCTGTGAATCAAGCGTTCAATACGACCTCAAACGTCTGGCAACTTCATCAACATGCACTGTGATGGTGTTGATTACCTGACAGTACGTATCCTCAGTTATCTCTTTGCAGGCCTGAATAATTAGTGCTCTGAACTCCAACACTGTTTGCAGCTATTTTAGGAAAATCTTTTCCATAAGAAATCACAAAAGTAGTCACATGGGTTTAAATTAGGACTATTTGGGGGCCAGTTCTGTTCATGGGGAACGATCAGGAAATTGGTTTGAGATGACACATGAGTTGAAAGTGTCATGGAGAAAGTATAAAACAACTTTCGTTGCATGCAGCCTGGCGCCATCCTGCATGAATCACTGAGTTTCTAATGGCAAACCTGTAGCAAGAAGGTGAGGCAAAAAAGTACTGTGCAACATGCTCAAACAGTGCTCACTGTTCACTGTTTCTTCAAAGAAAATTGGCTCTAGCAGTCCATGACTTGAGATGGTGAACCACACTGTAATTCTTGGTGCAGGATGCACTTTCTCATGAATCACACGTGGATTCCCTGATGCCCAAAATCACACATTTTGTTTATTAACCTCATCATCAAAGTGGAAGAGTGCCTCATCAGAAAAGTAAACATTGTTGACCAATACCTCATTACCCTGAGAACATTCAGAAAATGCCATTCTTTGATGTTTGTTTTGAACTGTAACTTTAGACAACACACAGAGAATAAATCTCCATGTGATGGTCTTTCTTTTTATATGTTACTTCCTAGGATTGTAACTGAAATAAAGATTTTATTAAGAGATAAAATACTGATCATTTCGTGCACCACCTTGTATGTACAGTATCGACCTGAGGCCTTCACAAAACAGAAACAGAATCCATAGATTTTATTGAGACATTTGTTTCTCTAAAGTCAAAAAGTTTGCATTTCCAGTTACACAAAATAAGAAAAGAAACCATAGAACTGCCAAAACCCAAATTTGTTGCTGATAGGGGTGTAAATGTCTTGTATGCCCTGAGTTCTCTTGCCTGTAAATCCAGCCCTGTGTTGTTTCTACTCAGTCCAGCATGCAACAACTCAAAAGTCAATAAAATGAAAGGTGAGTGAACCTAAGGTCTCTGAGTAAACAGAACAAAAATACTGTGATGTGTTGCCCAATGGAGGACAACCCCTCACCCCACCAGCGGTGACGTAACACTTTTGGAGCGTTGCCGTTGCTACGGTAATAAGCCAGTCAACACCCCGCCTCTCCCCGCGGTGACGTAACATGGGATGCTGCCGTTGCTACATAGCAGGAAACAACTCCCGACCGCACTGCTAGCAACACAACGCCAGACAACAGTGGTGCCTATTATGTGGCTGTTTTCTGTGTTGTCCGGAAGGAGGCTAAATAAGGAGCAGCGAAGACTATTCACAGTGAGAGTTCTCAAGTTCTCGAGTTACGAGTTACGAGTCAGCCAGGCAGTCAACCAGCGTTTGCAGTGTAGTATTTGTGATACTGCAGATGGCAGTAATTGTCAGATTGTAATTTGTGTGATTGTGAGAGCGAATGTGAAATAAAATTAGCTATATTCAGCATGGCGTGAATTTATTTGTCGCGTTACACACCCAACACGTGACAATACTGTGTTTGCCCCAGTGGAAGACAGTTTTTAACCTAAGACTTCCCAAATAAGAAAAATGTTTGCAGGGAAAATATGATTTCATGGATTAATTTCATAGTTATTACAAAAAAAAACATGTAAACAATAACACTGCAAGTTTTGAGGTATTCACGGCGATGACTATGAAGAAAGTCGTCTTCTGGGTTTTGGTGCCGTGTATTATTTGTTTTGACTCTCTGCATTCACAAGCCATTCACCTGCTCTGAAGATGGAGGCGATACGTTCCTCTGAAATGTCGGCCAAAACGAATAATACACGGCACCAAAACCCAGAAGACGACTTTCTTCAATAACATTGCACATTGGAAATATTAACCCACTAAAAGCTCAAAACATTTAAAAACACTCGAAGTAAAAAAAGAAATCTTTCATCCTTAACTCTGAAAATAAGAGTGGAAAGAAAACTAGTCTTCTATTTAGTAAATACAACACTAAACTGAGATGCAGATATCATGTAGGGGCTGGATTTTCTTCCACTAAATGCACACAAAACACTAAAACAAGAAACACATTGCAGGGAAAATCAATCATTATTTATGCAGGGCTTTAGCTGGGACCATAGAATGCAGGAAACTCCTAGACTGAGAAGCATTAAACAAGGCTTTTACATCACATATGGTGGAGCCCCCACTTAATGCCTCTCAATTTAAGTTCTTCCTCATTTAATGATCAATTTCAATGATCCAAAGTCAATAATTTCAGCATAAAATTATCTCCACTTACGATTTTCCTCAGTGTTCAAATCCATTAGTCCCCAAAGAAGACTGATATCCTCTGTAAACTTGTCTCAAGTAATATCAAAGATCAATAAACAAAAATTTTATTATGTTTACAATTGCCTCAGACAATCCTGATATCATGATATGAAGGAAGCAATGATAAGTCAACATCAACCCAGCATTTTGAACAGGATCATGTAGCCTGCAAGGATGAAGCTCTTGTGTTCTCATTCAGAGCTTCACATTCATAACAGAACATATACTGTCTGATTGTTTTAAGACTTCCAGACCACACTACAGACTGGGAGACGTGGCAAACAGTCAGATGCTGAAGTGTGTCAACTTCTTTATCATCACTTGCACTTCACTTCAGACCTTTTACTAGTCATCATAGGCAAATTGAGCCAAAGTGAACCTGATGCACAGGTTCTGTTAAGAACTCAAATTCTCTGACAAAGCAAACATCCTCACTTCATTAGGTGTTATAGCTCGATTACTATGTGAGAGCACAACCCTGCTTGAAGGAGGGGAAGTCAAGAGGAAACAGGATAGCAGAGTGAGTTAGCCCATTATGAGCCACTCCAACACAGAAACCAGCTGCCAGTATGGAAATCAACTGTATAACACTCATACCTGCTGTAAGAGAATACAAACTTGTCTGTTCCATCCATATATGAAAACTGTCTTCCGCATTTGTGCCATCACATTGTAATCTAGCTCTATTTCTGGGCGATTTCTCTTTACTTTTCTGAGTTTGGTTATTTTATGATTCTCAGTATCAAAACCATTCAGTGTCAATGATAGGATGATTATTGTGCAAATGTGGACAAATCTGTAGAATGAGAATTGGCAGGAGAAACCCAAGTACTTGGAAAAAACCAGCTCCAGTGCTACTTTGCCCACCATAAATTCCACAAGTTCTGACCTGGGATTGAAACTGGGCCCCTGAAATAAGAAGCCAGCAACAAGGTCCCCGAGTTATGGCATGGCCCTTCTTAGGGGACACAAACAACAACTTCAAAATGAACAGGAAATGATTTGGCAGATTGTACACTACCTCTACCTACCAGAGAAGTTTTGCAATATCTGTAATAGTTTCAGCTTAAGATGACCCAACACAAAATTTCAAATCACCACTGGGCTAAAGAAGAAGGAAAGACACAGATAATCCATGATACTGTTCAATACAGAAGAAATCTGGAAATGCAAGCATAGTGTCTGAATTAATTACCTCAAAACTTACAGAAAAAGTGTACTGAATATTTTTCTCTATTTACTGTTCAAAGTATTTTTTGCTCCAACAAAGATTTGGTGAATTATGCTCAAGATGTGTGCAGAAACACATGCAGGCAATGGTCATTAAAATTGTTCAATATAATAAAAATTGAAAAAGCTCTACCATTCTTTGTAAAATTCTCCAATATCAAATTAAACAAAAATCTGTCATATGGTTCTCAAGCTGTCTGCATACTGATGACTTAGTAACAGGTCCTCTGCAAGGTTTAGAATGTGCCTACAGAAGGCACATCCATAAGCTGCAAACCATGTATAAATAACTGACAGTATATGTGTGTGTGGCAGCTGAAAGGCCAAAATAATGGAGCCAGAAGAAACTGTTTACTGCTAGGTAATGGTTCCATAAACATGTGTCATGGCAATGGATATGCATGCAACAACAGAAAAATTGTTGGAAGCAATGTTTCTGGGCAGTCTGTGCCAAGGCCATTGGGAAAAGTTAGCTTTCATGGATATGACAGCCACGAGAAGCTGTGAGATGGTGGCCAACCAGCAATGCTGTTAAGCATGAGAGCAGAAGAATCTCCATTGCTGGGAACCATAACCTACTGACACCTATTGAAGACCATTAAAAAGCAATGACTAGTGAAGACGGCGACTGAAGACTACAACAGACGGAGATAGCATGTGCTATAGTGATTTGTTAAGTGTGTAGATAAGCAGTAGTGTTGTAATTACAAGTTATAGGAGTCCAATAAATCCAATTATCAATCCAAACCGTGTCTAGTTACTAACGAGCGACATACAACATTTGATACGTATAATTTATGTAAATCAGCACCCATCTGCTAAAGAGGGACACACCTATATGCACACATGTACTTCACTTGAACATTTGACAGAGAGGGCTGCAGTAGCAATAACACTCTAAACCCATATTCAGGAGATCATCAGCTGGAATCTTGGCTGGGACATCAGCCTTCCTGAGTGAAGTATTTCATTACTTTCCTCAGTCCCTCCAGGCCATCATTATTTCCTCCCAAAACTTTTTTCCAATTCATCATTTTGCACTGTATGACTCCCTGAAAGAAGCAATGGAGATAGAAAGAGAGAAATAAGATAAAAATTCAAAATCTGACTACTGACCTGTGCTTCAGTGTATGGTGGAACTGCATACAGTGGAGGGCTGGCAGTTCTCTCAGACACTATATCCTCATCAGCATAGGGAGGACCACGGGCTGGCAACACAGGTGAGAATGGAGGTAGTTCCTCACCTCGGTCGAGAAACCCGCCTTCACTATTTAAAATAAACGAGCTCATTATATGACTTCTGGGTTGTAACACTGTGCAGTCTCACAGGGCTTGACATTTCAGGGGAACAGAGACAACCTCTATCTTCAGGATCAAAGAGTAAAGTAAAGGTCAGCTTTCCACCTGCATCTGCTGGTTTCTTGCTTGGCTCACTCTTAACCCTGAATATGGAGGTGACATATTCCTCCAAAATGGCACTCTCCAAACTACACACTGTTACAACGAAGAAGACCATCCATTTTAATATTATTCACCCACCTATGTCTTGGTCTTCCTACTGGTCTCTTTCCTTCTGGCTTTCCCACCAATATCCTATATGCATTCCTCTTCTCCCCCATTCATGCTACATGTCCTGCTCATCTCACCCTCCTTGACTTTATCATTCTACTTATAATTGGCAAAGAGTGCGAGTTATGAAGCTCCTCATTATGCAGTGTTTTGGGGTTCTATCAGTGTTTATTTCACGTCATTATTTTATAAGCAAATCTTAATATATGAGGAGTCATTCTCCCAGAGATTTTACTGTACTTGCTTACTCATCAGACGGATGTGCTGCCTCTCCCCATGCTCTCCGAGGTTCTCTGGCTCCTAGAGATGTTACTTTGTTATCATATGGACGAGGAGGACGGGCAGGTGGCGGCACGTACTTGGCCTTCTCCTCTACTGGAGGTGGCACTGTCTGGAGCATTAGTCTCTTACTTGGAGACCTGGAATGTATGAAATGCAATCTTAAACCAGACTCGCACATACTTTTAACATTTTGTTGAGTTCATTTTTAGTAAAGAAACAAAGAAAATTGCTCTTTAAATTGGCATGTGCAGGGGCTGTGTGTGACTTACATGTGGGTTCCGGATTGGATTTATTGACACCTTATACACTCCACTTGGAACTACAAACATTTACAGTGCTATCGCTATTCCCACACTTTACAGGTCACTGTTACGCACGCTAGTGTCCTCAATGTCCATTAGTCATTTCCTGGCAACAGTTTCATAACAGTCTCCCTGTCACTTCAAATCACATGTAAAGTCTTCTTTGAACAGCCTTATTCCTTTCTTGCCATTATTCTCGAACACCTTCAGATGCCAACTCTCTCAATTCTCAGCTAAAAACTGACCACGCCAGAACTCAACTCAATTCTCATTCTTGCTGCACAAAATTTTTGTTATACAGCCTCGGGGCTGACCCACAGAAAACACCGTTTCCTCTGTTGTTGTATGTTGATTCACTGTTGTGCAGTTGTCTTTACCACACAGGTGCATAGCAACCAGTGTGGCGTGGACCCAGACAACTCTGCTTGCAAAATCTCTGTTCCTCTGCTGCATGTGTATGGGCCATTACCTAGCAACAGCTGTTTCTCTTCCTCCACAGTTCTTACTTCATGCAAATACACCACAATATACTTCCATGGTAACTTGGTAAGAAACTGCAATGAGTTATGAAGGTTTCAAATTAAGAATCTGGAGTAGAGGCCAGAAGCTTGCAAGAAAACTAAACATTCAAAAAGCAAAGAATCTGGAAGGGAAATAAAAAAAATGAGCACCACCTTCTCGGATGTGACACTGAGTGGTCTGGTGGAATTTACTGATGTTTTAGAGGAGTGAACTGACTCCATCTTCATGGTTAAAGACCAAGTTGAATAACCACACAGCACACAGAGGAACACTGTGTACCTGGCTCACTTGACAGCCATAAAGATGGAGCCAGTACTTTCCTCTGGAAGGTTGGTAATCACATTCCAGAGGACAGCACTCTTCATAATCACTAGCATCAGAGCCTGAGATCTCACAAGAAAGAAAGGTTATTCACGCCGAGTTCAATACATACTGCTCGCCCATGTTTTTATTTTCATTCGGAATTCCTGAAATTCACCTTATGAAATGCCTCTGCAACCGTGCCCGCTGTCGGCCTTCTTCCACAGTCTGGAACTCAGTGCGGCCTGAGTAGTGGAACTTCGAGCCAAGGGTGAATGGGAAGCGACGGCCTTGAATTTGGGGAGAGTGAAGACGGAAGAATGTATGATGTTCTACGCAGGACTTCCATAGGTTTTTCGACGACCGATATGTCACCATATTGAATCCAAGTAGAGTATCATAATTCTCAGACTTAAAAAGAAAAAAATAAATCAATAAGTAACTATAGCAGAGTTCACTATGCTATCCATAAAAATGCCTTTACAGCAGTTCTTTGCCCGAATGCGAGAATTTGGAATAGTAGGGGCACAAAATGTTAGATGAAGGAAAAACACTATCCACCTACATACCAAACCCTGACACAATCTTGTAACAGACCTGAGTTAATGAAGCATTTTTGGACTGCCAGCTATAAATTAGCTTGAGAAGAAAAATTGCAAGTATAGCTAAGGCTAAAGGCAACAGTCTACTCAGCTTTGATAAAAGTCCTCACTCTATGTAAATTGAATTGAATTTATTTGAATTCCATAGATCCTAAGTAGGTTAATACCTCTGGATATAGAACAAGTCAAAATAATACCTACTGGTACAAGTAATTTTATCTTAAACTAATATAGCTTCGTTCTACATTATTCTCTATTTACATTGAGGTATTCGTCTACAGAGTAGAAGGAATGAGCATGCAGATATTTCTTTAGCTCTGATTTAAAATGTTTAGTATCATTACTCAAGTTTTTGATACTTTGTGGGAGACTATTGTACACTTTTATGCCAGAAAAGTAGACTCCTTTTTGATATAGTGATAAGTTTGATGAAGGTAGATGGAAGTTATATTTTTGTCTAGAATTCAATTAAAATTTATTTTCGTTGTACACAACAAATAAGAGAAGCGATAGTATGTATTGTGATTGAAGATGTAGAATTTTTAATTTCTTAAATAAATCTCTACATGAATCTCTACTTCTACGTCCTGTAATGATTCTAATTATATTCTTATGTATCTTAAAAATTTTTATACTATGTGAAGAGTTCCCCCAGAATATTAATCCATAGTTCATAATAGAATGAAAGTAGGCATGGTAAACCATCTTCAGTGTTTCCTGTGGCACAAAGTGCTTAATCGATCTCACTGCATAGCAATATATATATAGCATAGATTATTCCATATACAGACTGCCCAACAATTATTCATCCTAAAAAAAATATTATGGGCAAAATGACTGGAGACACACAGATGGATGGTTCTTTAGTGTGGTCTGCTGCAGTGAGCAGACAAACACAGCGATGACAATTAAACAGAAAGTAAAGTTCATAATTTTGCATTAGAGTATTGTGTGTAGTATGAGTTGAGGTAGCTGCTCAACACAAAAACAATTCCAGTATCACAGAGCATTCTGATGCGGTATGGACAGTTCAAAGACACAGGACTCTATCTAATACATTACAAATGTGCCATGATGGCCACAAATGTTGGAGCTGTCAGTGATGTGATGCTGGAAATCTGTTGAACAGCCACTAGAATTAATGCACACACACACACAAAACAACGTTTTGTTTAGCATACAAAATCACATACTGCACCTTTGGTTGGACTACCACTGCCTTGTTTATGCAGTGGCTGCCAACCACACTAAACAAAACTCCTTGATTCCACCTATGGTGGACAAAATAATGGAAACACTAAGAAGTTAAGGAACAGCATTTGTGTTGGCTACATTCAAAGAACTTCAGTTGGCAATACTGAATGTTTGTTCTTCGTTCATTGGTTTATGCTCTTACAGTACTGGTGTCAGTGCTTTAGTGATTGTGTTGAGTGACGGTCCATGTGAAAGAATCAGAAAACGGGAGACTTGTTTGATTCTGAAAGACGGCAGATCATTGAGGCACATTTAGCTGAAGTCTCTGTGACAATAACTGCCATATTATTAGATGTATCCAGAGCGACAGTTTCTAAGGTTATGTCAGTATACACAAATAATAGGAAAACATCTGCAAAGAGGGACAGTGGGCAAAAATCAACACCGACAGACACACATTATTGTACATTCAGGACTGCTTTTAAAAATCACAGAACTACTGCAGCACAGGTGACGGCTGAACTGAATATTCATCTTGAAGACTTTGTTTCCACAAAAACTGTCTGACACGAGCTTCACAAATCCAGCATCCATGGTAGGGCTGAAACTGCTAACCTCTGATTCCTGAAAGTAATGCTCAGATATGTAAACAATGGTGTCACAACCATAAAACCTGATTATCAGGCACCTGGAAATGTGTGCATGATATGGTCAGACGAGTCGTCCTTCATGCTGTTCCTTACATCCATTGGGAAGAATTTATGTCTGCAGAACACTCAAGGAAGCCTAAAATCCACAATGCTTGGTTCAAAATGTGAAACACAGAGGATGTTCTTTGATGGCTTGGGCTGCAATATTGTGGTACAGTATTCTGTTAGCCCCATTATTACCATTCATGGCTGAATTACTGAAAGGAAGTACATGGACAGGTGGGGTAATCATGTGCATCCCATGATCCAGTCGTTATTTCTGAACGATGCAGTTTCCAAGATGGCAATGTCCCCATTCACACAGCTGGAACTGTTCAGTCATGATTTGAAGAGCATGAAGGTGAACTTCAACGTCTTCCCTGGACGGCACAATCATCAGACCTGAATATCACTGCCATTCTTGTCAGTTTAGGAGACTAGAGTGAGGTACAGATTCCAACCTCAAACATCTCTAAAGCAACTTGAAGATGTTCTTCAAGAAGAATGATATAAAATTCTGTGTTAATAACTTGTATGATCCATTCCAAGGAGGACTGCAGCTGTATTGAAGGCAAAAGGTGGTCCAACACCATATTAACCTTTAACGGCCGAATGTTATAATTATTCGCATCAAGTAGCAAGGCGAGCCGCCGAATGTTATAATTTTTAGGGGCAAGCCACGTGCTTCCTTTGTGAGTGCTGGCAGTTTGACCTTGGGTTTGAAACCCAAACAAACTCATGAAGTTCATGTCAGTCGTTTATTTGTTAGCTCTGAACAATGAAATCGTTTATCAGGGTACTGGTTTCGAAACTATTTACGTTTAGATATGACTGTTTATGACCTGGTGAGCCAATAGAGGTCAGCTTTGTTTTGAGAAGTTAGAGGAGGAAATATTCGTAAGCACTTTCATACCAGTGCTACCAGAGATTTCAAGGAAGTGTGGCTCATTCAGGGATTGGTTTGCAGTGTTGAATTCTCAGTTAGGATGTCAGTGGCGGATTTTCTATATTTTGTTAAAAGTTAGGAAGTCAGTGTCAGACTCCTATATTTCTTTTATAAAAGTTAGGAAGTCAGTGTCGGACTCCTATATTTCTTTTATATCATTTTTACTGTGTATCTCAGAAGTCATATAAACCCACTGAGCCAGTGTTATTTTGTGCATAAAGACATCTTCGTCACTGTGACTTTCAGTATCAGTGGCGGACTGGCACTTTTTGACTGCTATTGCAATTACTTTGCATCACAATTTTGCGAGTATTTTTCCACCTACTAGACATGACTATTCTCAATGAATATCTGTTACACAAGTCATGTCATGGAAAAATGACGCACAAAAATTTCCACGAAATTTTGGTGCGTGATTTGATTCTTCAATCACATGAGGCAAATATCACGGTCAGTGGTGTTTCTCGGGGGAGGCCAAGTTCATCTGGGGCCCAACTGAGTCGACTGGAGGTGAAACATTCAAAACGCTGACCAGCTAAAGGGAAACAAAGACGTTTGTTCTATAAACAAGAAAAGCGGGAGCGCACTTTACCGCTGTAGAGTGTGATGTCATGCTGTGTGATGGACTGCTTCGAGAAATGGCACATGCGTCAGAGTGTAAACTGTGAAGCGATGCAGTCCAAACCGTGTACAGTCCGAACCAAATATTATTGTATATAGTGTCGTCATATTTACATCACCACCACGATTCAAGGTTGAAGAAAAACAACAGGTAAGTCCTTTGGAATTTCATAACGTATATAATAATGATTATATTTTCCACTTCATGACAAAATACTCACAGTTGATTTTCATTTGTAAAACTTGCCCTTTTGTATAAATGTAGAAAATTTTATTGTCTTTCAGGTTCTTTTTAGTTCATATTCCGATGTTGCATAGAACGGAAAATATGCATTTTTTTCTGAAAGTTTGCAATGTTAAAGACTTAGGGCCATTTAAATTCCGGCCGTAGGGAGCTGCAGGCAATTTAAAAGTCCGTACGTTAAAGGTTAAAAAAGAAATATGTGCAGCACCTGTATTGTTTCCATTATTATGTCCAACCCTTGCATGTTCTGTGTTTTCCCACCCCTATGCCTCTAGTGGTAAGAAAACAATGGAGCCATGATTCTTCTCACCACAGTGATGTTATCATTATGTGTCACATACGTCCTGTTGCAGATACGGCATGGTTCATGCAATCTACTATAGTATCATGGGAAAGCTTTACGATTCATCAGGCTTCATGGTACATACCAGTTCCCTGCGGAGCTGGATAAAGAACTCCTTCCTCTTGAATGAGATTTTAACAATCTTGGACCAAGAAAAGGTGTTGATGCGGACATTATTCTGAAATACTACCAGACCCATTGAAGTAACACCAAGATGTATATCCTTATTTGTTGTATCCTGAAACATTTGAAGCATTTTTCATCTTGCAAGAGCAATCACATGCCAACATTTCAACCCTTAAAATTTGTCATGTGCCATCTACATCCATCATTGATCAACTGTATATGTCTTGTCTTCCCCAGGGAGCTTATATTTAAAAAAGAAACTCTAGGGACTCATAGCAGTCTGCTGTCACAAAAATCCATGTGCTGAGAGGACTGTAAGCTGTGTGTGCTCTCAGCAAGTGTTCCACCAATGCCTGCTAGTGCCTCCATTGTCACATGTGCAACATGCGGCCAAGCATTGTCATGAAGCAGAAACCACTAATTCATCAGCTCCAGTCTTTTTTGTCTGAACAATATTCCTTAAATGAGTTTTAAATGTATCAGCACTGCAAACACCATTCAAAGGTTGGTTCTGAGGTAGCAGCCAGGATGAAAGACAACTGCTCAGCTGTATCAGTATTTACATCTGTCCTCCATGTTGTTAGGGCACTGTCAACCACCCTTTGCACACACTTGAGGAAGCAAAACAGCTGTTGTGCTCTTATGGATATTACTGGTCTCCATGTACCCGCTCGACAAATAAGAGACCTTTTTAACTTTTAACGTGAGTCATGTTCCACGACTTAGCTCAACAAGGTAAAATTGAACAGTGAACATGGGTAAAACTTAAATAAAGGGACATTAACTGGGTGCTGCATAGAGTCACAAACGAAACATTAAAACAGAGTAACAAAAGATTGCTTACCCTTACCCTGGCGCGATGCAGATCAACTCCATACATGTCAAGTCGCTTCACATGGTCCAAGAAGTTGAACTCTGCATCTGCTGGTGTCTGTCCCCTAGAGAATTGGAACAATATTTATAGGAAAGTTTATAATTAAACTTAAAACTTTCTCCAAATGAGTAAACCTTGGACTGCAGGATCTGAGGTTCTCAAAGCAGTGGTTATGAAGAGTTTTATCTTCTGAGATATGTCATGTCAAACTTGAAGGTCGAGCAACATGTTCCTCTGAAATGTTAGTCAACTTTAAATGGACTACCTGGCCTTATGTCTTTGAAGACAGGTGTACACTTCAATCTATGAATTTCTTTCACCATCTTCTTACACAAGAACATAATACAAGAGCACACTATGCACTGATAATGCTACAATGTTCAATCAACTATACCAAGTAAGGTTCCAAGTGGTTTTCTGTTTCTCCACATGAATACATGGCTAGAACTCTAAACAGACCACAGATGTCTCCACCCACAAAGCCTTACATACATGCCAGATGGGCACTGTCTAGGCCATTTTTGTATATACATGAATTTCTTTTTTCAAATGAAAAACTACCATTCAGAACCACCTTCCTATACTGATCACTACACAGGATTAACCACATAATTGGAAACAAACATGCTGGCTCAAACAGTATTCTTCTGGACTTGCATTCAGCAGGTGCCTGGTTCAAATCGCAGGTAAGACACCAACTATACAGAGTTCTTTCTGTAATTTTCCCGTCCCTTTGGGCAAATGCCAGGACAATACCTCAAACTGGACCTTCCACATACTCTCTAATTCACTAATAATCCAACTACTTGACACTACATAAAATAAAAATCCCTATAGTTAGTGCCTCGTAACTTTAGCCGCGCGGAAAGGTAAACGCTGTTGTGGAGCATGCGAAGCTGTACACTTGCTGTGGTGACATTCAGAGCTACTCCCCGAGTGGAAAACATTGCCTATGGAGACCAACTAACAACAACATAACGTACTATACACCTGACCACACTCCAAGACGCTACATTCCAAACTGGTAGTACCCACGCTGACGTAAGCTGATAAGACTGTCCCCCCAGCTCCACGAGAGATAGTATGACCCTTCTACCATGGCTAGAGTTCCAAGGAACTAACAGTACTTAATGCTTCACTCTGGAGCAGCAGATTTCTATATACCAAATAAAATCTTAAATGTAGGTAATTTAACACTGAGATTACCAACTTGGGATCATTAAACTAAACATTAAATGAGAGAAAAAATTAAACTGTGAGACATTAAACAAGAGTTCCATTGTAGTATGAGTTACTAACATTGTTATTAAATAAACTATAAAAAGAAGAGCACAGTTCAATAACCAAAAATTGCATCACATAAAAACACACAAGTACAGTGTGCAAAAATATGAAAGGAAAATCTGGCTGCATGTAGATGATGCTTCTTAAAACAGAAGCTCGTTAGGAACTTCACTCTACTCTTCATGCTGGAAGCACAAAGAATGATAACTGGATGTGCCGCAGACTGCTGCATTCATCTTCCAATGCATGTTAACAGATCAGAAAACAACCACTTCATCTGAAGAGAGAAGAATATATTGTATAATGGATAGGGTGCTGCTACCTGGAGGATGTTCATAACTTACTCCCTAAACTCCCATGTAAATCTTCAAACAAGCATAACAACTCAGACTGTGGTCTTGTCGAAATGACACCATACAATCCCACTGGTGGGTACCAATGTTTTAAGGGACCCTCCAGCCTCAACTACCATTCTTACAGTCTTCTGTTCTCCAGACTGGAGCAGTTATGTTTCACCAGAACACTGGCACCAACCTACTAGATTACACAGCATCTTTTCTTGTCGTTTCTTCTGTGACAGTGTTAGTATCCAGACTACACACTGTCAAACGATGGGATGAACACATCTATAGGGTTCTGACAACGGGTTTATAACACTCACAGCTACTGGGAGTTTTCACTTCATCCATCATCCAGGATTCTGAAGAACACAACATTTTGGAAACAGGATCTGTTTCCATCCTCAGGTGACAGGGTGGGAAACTCCTATTCTGTCGGGTCCATTATATAGAGCTAACCCCAGAGCCACTGCCTAACAGACACAACAGAGTGGGTGTCTCCCACCATCTGAGGACAGAAATGGATCCAGTTTCTGAAACATTGCGTTCTTGAGAATACCATACGACAGACAAGTCCAAGAACCCAGTAATCCTGAGGATATGAACTTATGAATGTTGAAATGGTAAGGATTTGGAAAGCAGCAGTCATGACCTAATCATGGTATTGTCCCAAGATTTGTCTAAAGGAAATGAGGAAAACCACAAGAAACCCTGGTGAGTATAGTGTGTGTCCTGGCTGAGATGTAAACTGAGCACTTGCTGAATATAAGTAAGTGTTTTTTTATCACTAGTGGGGTGGAACTAAGTCCCTTGTACTGCAGCCACTTCTGGCCTATTGTACCATCCCCAGATGATAGGTGAGGGTGATTGTGGAGCAATTGGTGGAATGAAGATTGGCAGGGGAAACCAAAGTACTCGGAGATAACCCGCTCCAGCACCATTTTGTCCACCACAAATCCCACTTGACCAGACCCCGAGATTGAACCCGGGCAACCATGGTGGGAAGCCAGCGACTAACTGCTTGAGCTATGCCGCCCCCTGCACTCAGCTTGGTGGTATATGTAGGATGTTCCTAATGTCATGCGACTCAATATGATGCTAAACCTTGCAAATGGATCTTACTTATGAAGTTTGTGAAGCTCTGCTATTTTCTTCTCCATTTCCTCTGTCTGTCCAGGCATGAGCTGGAGAGTTGACAAGTAGCCAGGCCCATGTTCGTCAGCCTGGTAGTCACCAAGCTCAGCTACAGAAGGATTACAGTGTGTTAATACACAGCGTGAAGAATGTGAAGAGGCTCACTCCTCATGCCCTTTCATTTCATCTACACACAAATTTTAAATTTTAACTTTTGACATTTAGAATAATATTTTAACTTGTGTTTTGTGAGAGGAGCTTGATATATTATTGAGCGTGGGCCTGAATAAGATACAGGATCGAATAAGTGAGAAGACGAATGTGATTGCGTGTAATTATACAACTGTGTTCGTACATCTGAGGATGACCTCTTGAGGTCGAAACATGTAGAGTAATAATAATAAAAATATGTTGTGTGGTTGGTAAAATTGACTCTAATATTGATTAAATACACAACAGGATGCAAGAAACAATTAAAGTTATTAGGTAATAATGGTTCAGTTGCATAAATTAGTTCGCATAATATTGTTAATTCCATGTACACTTAATAGCTGCCAATTATACTTCTTTCACACATTCAAATTTTATATGAATTTGCAAGCACATCACTCTTACCAGGTTACTTAGGCATTGGTGACATTCTTAGGTTATTTATGCCAATATACAAATCCCCACAATTCCTGTTCTTAGTGTTTATTTCAAGCTTATCAGTTGTGTCTTTCATACATTCCCTTTTATTGCCCCTGAAATGTCTGATACTTGTACAGCTTACACTATTGGTAATATCTCCATGCATTTGGCCTGGACACTGTAAATTTCACACTGATCTAGTAATTTTGAGCAGTTCTGTCAGGCTACAGTTTATGCTGATTTAACTTGTTACCACATTTACTTCATAACATATGGACATTTTTGCCCAGAAAATGTTGTCTGAAAATAATAGTGAATGAAATATGCAAATACTACTCTTCAGTGTATATTCTTACATGTTAGACTGAAATGATTACAACTTACTGCGGTGTGCCAGATGGCATGGATATTCACACCTATGGACCTCACTGCAGGATTCTTTGAGAAGGGAATATCCACTGCTAAAATTCTGACCAATGCATAACATTCACAAACAAATGTGATTAAAAGCTGAATGTGGTATGGCCACACAAGATTAACGTTGGGACCTACTGACTTCAAAATGAAATTCTTTAATACACGGCTGAATACTCCCTTGACAAAATTTCAACTGACACATAATTTTTGTAGGAAATGTGATCAAAGCCAAATGGGATGTTGCATCACAGTATCAATACTTATGTCTACAGACTCCAGTACATAATATCTTGACTTTTACACTGAAATTACAATGCCCTCTGATAATATTTCAACCAGTACATTATTTATGACGTCCTTCAAGCCATGCTGCCATGATGCAATTAACTTTAATCACATTCTTCATAAAGATTATGCACCACCTGAAACTGTATCAGGGGTAAAATTATGGTATTTAATTTTTTCCAAGATATTTTTTGTCTTAAAGTAGAGGTGCATAAATTATGACAGTAAATACTTTAATTATCCAGACGCCTTTGACAAAAGTTTTGAAATCCTGTTACTTTCCCATGCCATACCGATGTCAGCATCATTTTCCAAAGCTGCATACCTGTCTGAGATTTTGACCTGACTCTGAACCTTATCTCTATTGTTTTGCTTCTCAGGAATAAATCTCCCCGTATCAAATTTTTGTGCTGTTGTTAACTGACTGTCTCTCCTTTACTTTAGAAATCAACAACTATAGTGGCCAATATCACAGTCAGCACCCCTAAAAACTTGACATCAGTATACTTGAGCGCTGCCTCCTTCCTGCCAAGATGTGATCAATCTGAATATCTGACACTGTACTTCCCAGTAGGGATTAAAGTGAGGCAAAATGAAAACCATGTGACAGCACGTTTCACTGGAATGTAGCCAGCTGCTGAGATGATACATTCACAGGGGGGGCAAGGAAAAACTGCATAAAGATACACTGAATCCTGCACACAACAGTGAGAGTTCTTAAATTTCTGCAAAAACAAACTTGAAGTGTGAGCTACGTACATTGCACGGTATAGCTGGCAAGCAGGCAAGCTGTACTGGCTGGCAAATGCAAACGGCCTTGCAAGATGTCCCTACGGATCTGAAGGTAAAAATGATAACGAGTATACTCCTCCTGAAGCTTGCTTGGATCAGACACATAGAACTTCACTCGGAAATAGAAATGACCACCTGAAAATCAACAGAGTAACTCTGATTCAACTGATTCTGGTAGCCACAAGCACAAATTCCATCTACCCTACAAACTAGGATACATCATACCTTGTGCAGGCAACCTTACAGAGGAACAGTCCTGTGTACTTACTTACTGATGGGGCTGAGCCCTTCTTGAGGAGTTGCCAATTCTGCAGGTACTCAAGAATTTCCCAGCATCTTATGGAACCCGAAGGTTCATTACCATGTTCACAAGAGCCCTCCACTGGTCCCTATCCTGAGCCAGATCAATCCAATCCATACCATCCCATCTCTTTAAGATCCATTTTAATATTGTCCACCCACCTACGACTTGGTTTTCCCAGTGGTATCTTTCCTTCTGGCTTTCCCACCAAAATCCTATATGCATTCCTCTTCTCCCCCATTTGTGCTACATGCCCTGTCCACGTCATCCTCCTTGACTTGAGATTCCTGTGTAAGCATGTTTAAAGCTCCATGTAGTAGATGAAGGGGATCTTATTTTTCACAGTTATATCACAAGTTCATTTATGAGAAATCTGTAAAACTCAGTTCACTTTAATGTATTTTTACTTATGATTTTATAGATATCCAAGTATATGACAGAGAAAGCAATACTGGTAAATAGAGACATTACTTTAAAGAGAATTAAACATTCCAGACTAGGTTACAATATGAAATATGAAAAGCAATCGCACTGATTCTGATATCCTTCATCAATTTGTCAAGAGCTATCCTTGTACCAGGCCGTGAAGGCCCATAGGGTTGTGAGACGTTGAGGGTCTCACATTATCTAGACTATCGGCTCAAAGATGGTGGTAAGGTTGTCAGCCTTATGTGCCGGCCGCGCTTTACTCCCCAGGAGAATTAGAGAATTATTTAATTAATTCCCGGTACTCATTTCTGTTAGAGGCTGAGTCACAATATGAACATAAAAATTCAAGAAAGTTCGTATTTTATTGTTATTATTATTATTAGAGGGGGTGGGTTTCCCCATGCACTTAGACCAGATATTGGTCCATTGTGCATCCCCCTTTAATTTCTACTGTCCCCATACCCTACCGGTACTGGTGCATGCCATCAGCCCCGTTCAGCCAACGAGGTCAGCCGTCGGTACCTGATATTTCCCCCATCTACCAGAGTCATTGGAGACTACTTCGGCAGGAAATTGTTGCCTAATAATTTTGCTCACAGAAGTTCGTATTAAAAGGAACAATTATGGCCTTCCACAACAGACAGAAGAATTGTATTTTGGAGATGTTTTCATCAGTGGGTTGGCAGAATCAGGTGTAATGGAACTGAAAGAAAACAACATGTGTGGGATAGGTGCTTGGTTTCTAATGCTCCCGGATGTGGACATTTTGACCTTTCTAGCCTCTGCCCACCTAGGCATGACCACAGACCCCATTTCTGAGGTGGGGGTACTGATATGACAAATTTTGTTACTCCTAACAATGAGGTGACCATAAGAATTACGTATGATTGCCAAAGGGAACCTACTGCTTAATGTGGGTTCAAAACCACTTGGAAGGAAGGGGTCTGCATTCTTAACATTCCCAAAGTTTCATCATTGGTAGAGGTGAAGATTCAAATCTGTGAGCAGAAATATCTGTCCATATATCTTACCAGGTATTGAACTCAGAAGCCTCTGAATGAGACTTCATCATCATACTTTGAAAGTATCAGAATATAAAATGAACTGTTGCTGTGGTATGGACGCAGAGAAAGAAGTGCAGAATAAAAATGGCCAAACAACTAGGTCACCATAGACCAGCAGCAAAATGTGTAACAAGGAGATCACATGCATGGCATGTGCAATTAAGAAATTGAAAGAAGAAATCTGAAGGAATGTGACTGGAGTAATCATCAGTCATTGAGCATGAGAATGGAAATCCTGATGAAGCAGAGAAAATATAAAAGAAAAAAACAATGGCCAAAATACTATTCTTACCTCGAATCTGTTTCTTCACTGGCTTTAAAGGGTCGACCCACCGCTGCAATGAACACACAGATTAATGTAGCGTGACTCTCCAAATGATCACTCTAACATAATCTATCTACTGTTTATGGCATATTATTCCATAAATCAGTATTCAATTTCACATAAAAATAAATGAAGTGGGCATGACAACAGTTTCCTTGAAAAGAGTCTCATGAAATATCATAAATCATTTCGATAAAACAATAAAACAGGACACTGAAACAAGGAAAGATGTACAGTCTGCTGCTAATCACTGTAAAGCATCACTGATGCAATTACCACAACAGATGCACTAGGCAACTCTATTACTGGAAGCTATGATCAGTAACTAATGGGTTCTAAATGCTCCACAGCTGATCTAAACAGAGGGTAATCCATTGATGGGTACTGACATTCTAACCATATTGATCTGAGAATGTTATTAGAGTGTACTGCTTTATGAAACAGTGACTTACCATGGCATCAGAGTTCGCTGCAGTGAGAGGCATTCCATTGTCTGAGAACTGAAGACCAAAATAGTCTTTCTCAATTAGTTCAAGATGTTGATACACCAACTCCAGCAAAACATGGCCTTTGGCACGTTTCTGAAAATCAGTGTTTTATATATAGTCTGACTTAATACTAGATGAATTATTAAGAAAATCAACCTACACCAATAGAAGCCAAAGGTCATGGCCTCCCAGTCCTCTCTTCCATTCTGAAGTTTATAAAAATGCTCTCAAACCCTTGTCTGAAAATTTAAATGGCCTGCTGATATATAATTATAGGTTAAGAATAAACAGGGTTTATAAAGACAGTTTCCATGAGTGTTGAGGCAGGCACCCCACTGATGCACCAGCCAATTGACATCCCTATAAAAAGAAGAAAAAAAAATGTGGACGCTGATAAAACAAACCACTGCACCAGTAACGCCATGATGTCTTCATCTGACCCAAATCTATGGGTCAGTTTCATGTGAAAACCCCTAGCATTATGAACAATGCACACTATCCTCCACAGCCAAATGGCAATACAGTCAAACTTGGCTATAGCAACATCGGTTTCTGCGACACCTTGTCTATTGCGTCAAATATTCAATGGTACGAACTAATTACTCATAAAACAACTGTTTTTATACCTTGCTTAGTACGACATGCACAAATGCATCAACCTCGTATGTAACGTCATTTTCATTCCTGAATTTCTCTGATATCGTGGGAAAGTTCGATGTGTCAGCCCACCCTCACTTTCTCTACTTGCTGACGTGACTGTCCTGGAAGAATATGACCACGGGCTCCAAGAGGAGCGTGGGTTTTATGCGAAAACGAGGGTGTGGGGTGGGACTGCGTGAACAGTGCAAGAGGACGCGGCAAGTTGTTAACTGCATTCCTTTCCTAGAATCTCGTCTAACAGGACCTCACATTGTCTACTTACCCTGTAGTGTTCCTGCCTAAACCCAGAGAAGTGCAATAGCGAAAACATGGCAATGAAAAGGAAAGTTTTAAGCATTGAAGAGAAAGTTAAAGTGATTCGTGAAATATTGTGTGTATTGTCAGTGAAAAGCGCTGTAATATGTCTCTGATATGACACATTTGGGCAATTCCACGTTAATGTTACGTTAGTCAGTACTTAACTATGTATTTCACTAAAAAATGCAACGTTTTAGCTCGATTTTGGTAGATTTTTACGTGACTAACATAAGGCTACTGTGGAAGTGCCCATTTCGGTTACAACGACATTCGTTGATAACGACACTATTTTTAGGTCCCTTTGATGACGTTATAACCTAGTTCTACTGTATATGATCAACACATATCTTTTTCAGAATTACTTAGTTTTTGGACTTCGTCCATTGTCCAGTATTCTAACAACAAGAGAACACATTTTGGAAACTGGATCTGTTTCCATCCTCAGGTGGGAGTAGACACTGGAGGAAGGAAACAGATCCAGTTTCCAAAACGCTGCGTTCTCTAACTTCTTAGCATAACGGACAATGGGTAATGTTAAAAAAAAAACCCAGTAATTCTTGGTGTTATACACCATCATCAGAAACCTCTAGAATTTGATAACAAAAGTATCTGTTACTTATCTTGTTCGTTAACATAGTAAATAGCAACTCTCTTGTAAATAAACTGACATATCTGAAAATATTACCTCTATCTGAAAGCAGTGTTGAGTATCATCTAGAAAAACTACAGTAGCACTTAGGGTTTTAAGTCGTCGATCCCGTGCCAATTCTGATGCCCGAACATTGTAAGTGCCACTTGAACCACTAAATGCGCGGCGAGAAACACTCTCAATCATCCTGGCTCTGCCTTCAGCCGGCCTCCCACGGGTGAAGCTCAACCTGAAGAAATGACACAAGACAGTAGTAACACGTTCGGCTGTCAACAAAAAAGTGTACTGCTTTAGATTTCTCCTGTGGTAAACTTTTCAAAATATACAGAGGGGCCCAAAAAAATGTATACAAACTTGCGTTGCTCGAATAACAACTGTTCCCCAGTCATTTTCTTTGACTGCCCTGCCATTCAATTAGGTGCCTCTGGGATTCATGTGACTAGCACCATCTTTTGAGAGAATATAACACTATACAGATCTGTCAGATGACAGGTCCACAGTCTCTTCCAAAACAATTCCTCCACTTAATGCGATCTAGAGCTTTCTCCTTCAAATGACAGTATCCTCTTCTGTCCCCAAGGTCATCCAGCATCTTCTTATGTCTTCTTCCTCGTCTTTTTGTCACTTTTATCCTCCCCCCCCTATCTTTCCTTCAATAACTTCTTTTAGAAGGCAGTTTCTGCGTTAAACATGACCANGCACAGTTTCTTCCTTAGCCATTAACACAAGGTCATCTGCATATTTCACAGTTTGAATAATTTGCCCTCCTAATTTGAAGTCTCCGAGCCCATCCAGAGCTTCCTTGGTAAGGCATTCGCTGTACAAGTTTTAAATGCTATATAAATTAAAATTCTGACCTCTGCTTTTCATGCAACATGTGCAAGTTTAGAACTTCAAGTTCCACAAAAGACTGTGTGAAATAGCTTGCGTAAATGTTTACAAATGTTCCTTTACCGGTTGCAATTATTGCAGAACCTCACTGAAAATTACAAAATCCTCCATCACTCATTCTGTATGGACATGCAGCAGCAGACTGAAGGCAGTAACGATTTTTTTAAGCGGCTAGTTTTTGGTAACGAATCAATGTTTCACATTAGTGGTATGGTGAACAAACACGTTCATATATGAGGAACTGAAAACTCGAGAGTTGTAGTAGAGCATGTGAGGCATTCACCTAAAGTAAACGTTTTTTGTGCTGTATCCCGTAAAAAAAAGGTGTATGGACCATTCTTTTTCCAGGAAAAAACAGTGCGTGGAATAACCTAACTAGACATGCTACATGAGCGGCTGGTGCCTCAACTACAAGAAGACAATGACAATTTCACATTTGTCCAAGATGGCGCTCTGTCACACTGGCACCTTGAAGTTAGAAATTACCTGGACGAAAAATTGCCTCGGCATTGGATTGGACATCCAACCACCCAGAACATGGCTCTTACATGTTGGCCACACAGAAGTCCATATTTAACACCCTGTGACTACTTCTTATGGGGCTACATAAAGGACAGAGTTTATGTACCTCCCTTCCCTACAAGTGTGGACGATCTTAAATAACGCATCACAGTAGTTGCTGCGACTGCTGACGTGGGCATGCTGAGAAGCGTTTGGGAAGAACTAGACTATCACATTGATATTTGTCGTGTTACAAAAGGGTCACATATAGAACACTTGTAACTTACCCATGTAAACTTCAGGGCGTACTTCTAAAACCATGCTAGTATTTCAGTCATGCTATTAAAAATCTTCTTTCTGTAAAACTTTGAAAGTGTCTATTTTTTTAGGCTAACCCTGTACATCATGCATTCAGTTCAACTTTGAAAATGTCCACAGATAAGTGCACATACATCACCTTGGGACCCCCACCCCTACATTTGGCATGTGCTATATGAGAAGTCCTTGAGAACACAAATTTTCTCTAGCAGAGTAATTTTTGCGAGTATTCACAAGGAGCAAGTACTAATCCCTTCTGGTATCACATCCTTTTTCAATGACAAACTTCCATACATCACTGTAGCAAAAATAAATAAATAAATAAATAAATAAATTCTATGGCAATGCCCTTTTCACCATGGGCATGATGAGGGATGCATAAGTTGGTTTATGCCAGCATTGCCAACCATTATGATTCTGATGGATCTGGTAATTTTCAGACTATGGCACAAGACAAAAGTGTAAAAATTTTCAGTTCATGACTGAAAAATCAATGATCAATCAAGATTTCTTCTTGATTTGATCTAAAAATATCTGAAAGCCACACATATCTAAATATATATCATATGTTGCAGTCTACTGTCACAGAATATTTGTCCATTAACACACAGTATGAACAACAATTGTCTAAATGCTACATACAGAATTATTTCATTTTTTCAACATTGTCAATAAATGTCATTATTTTTACATTCATCCTTCAATTTGTGTGTGTCTGTGCGCTTGCATGCACGTGTGGGTGGGTGCTCAAATATATAGATATATAAACATACATTAGCTTGTAAGTCTTCTGTCTCTATCAACAAGTACAAGGACTATCTATACAAGAGCGTCAAAATTGGCCATTAAATACAGAAGTGGGACATGAGTACCGAGAACCAAAGAAAAAATATTCTAATGCATTATACAGGACATATCTGCAGCTAATACATGGCAAGACATTGACAAATAAGGCTATTATTTATGATGCAATATTTTATAAACCTACTTGTAAACAAGACTTTGGATGCCCACAAACAAGATGAAAGAAGCGATCTTAGCCTTGCACTGTCTCATGATAACCCAAACACTGAGCACAAAATGATTATTTGCCTCTGTCTATAATAATTAAAACATGATATTTTCATATTTTATGTGTGAGAGTCTAAAAATTTAAACAACCCATTAATATATATTTAACTCAATATGAATTTACTGAAAATTTGAATTATTAACACGCTTACTCAGAATGCTTTTCTTCATATTAATTTTCCTGTCATACTGTCCTTGTGCATTGAGGAAGCATTCAATTGTATATAAATGTTAAATTAATTTAAAGCATAAATTTTATGTGCATTATGGGCAACCTTGTCTGAGTGAGGTTCTCTCTTTCAATGCTAACACAATTAAATACAATTTAGGTACAATCATCCCCTCAAATACAGTCCTGAACACAACTTTACTTCACAACAATGTAAATATTTAACCATATTAACTCACATAAATAATATTTTGGTAGTTCATAAATATTTTGATTGAGATAATCAAGCAGGAGAATAAAATATATTTGATTACACAAATTAAAATGAAATTTAACTTCCTCATACGTATACACACTCCCAAACACATTATGTAAATATGAAGTACATGTTAACATGTGATAAACCATAATCTAATCTCTGCCTGTCATCCATTTGGGGTGGAGCTGAGTATAACTGTAACTGATTTTGAGTTTTCATGGTGGTTCACCCTCATGACCTTGCATTATTTCTTAACTTCCCAATATCTGTACACTTCTTCAACTACACAGCTTCCTCTTCAACCCTGAAGAAGGAGGCAGCAGCTTCCTCCAAATTGTTAATAATCTTCTACTAGACTAATGGGGTCACATCCTATAAAACAGTAATCATCATTCTACAGGCTTTCTTCTCATTGTCCTGGGCGACTTGCCTAAGTGGTAACGCTTATTGATGCATTCAGGAGCTGCTTACCCTGACCAGGACAACAATCATTCATACCAAGGTTAACAGCAGTTTTCTTCAGTACATCTACAAGAATGCTGGGACAGTATTTTGTTTTAAAAGAATACCATTTCTTTCCACATCCCTCCCAGTTCATTCATTATTCACCAAATAATAATCCTATCACTCAATGCTGTACAGTCTCAGCTACTGATACCAGTGTTACCTAAACCATACATAAATAAATAAAAGGTAAAGCTTTCCCTGTAACAGGCAGTGGAGGCCCACAGAGTTGTGAGATGTCTTGGCTCCCACATTTTCTAGACAATCGGCTCACAGATGGTGGTGAGGGTGTCAGCCTTATGCGCTGGCTGCCCTTTACCCCCAGGAAGATTCCTGGTACTCATTTCTGTTGGAGGCTGAGTTGACCCAGGGCCACAGAACAGCTGGAAGGATTAGGTCAACTGAAAAATCCAGTGACTTCATCAGGAATTGAACCTGTGACCTTCTGGCTTATAGCACAGTGCCTCAACCAACTATGCTACTGAGTGCCCCCCTAAATTAGACTGCAAAATGTTGAAAAAATAACAACCAAGGGTTCTGATAAAAAGGAATCATATTACAATAATGAATTGACTACCTTCCATTAAAACAGACATTAAACCAGGGGTTCTTCCCCTTTCCTGTGCCATGGACCCCTTTGAGAGTCTGGTGAAGCCTATGGACTCTCAGAGTAATGTTTTAAAGTTTATAAAATAAAATACACAGGATTACAAATAAAACCCATTATTTACTATAGGATTCTGACGATGGTGTATAACACACTGATATATTGGGTTTTCAGACTTTATTCATCGTCCTGGTTTTTAAGATAACTAATAAAAACACGACGTTTCGGAACCTGGATCTGAGGACGGAAACAGATCCAGTTTCCGAAACGTCGTGTTTTATTTGTTATCTTAAAAACCAGGACGATGGATAAAGTCCAAAANCCAATATATCAGAAACCCATTATATTGAAATACAGTTATCAAAATATTTAAAAAACACTTGCATGTGTATGTGAGCGCATGTGCATGCGCACAGGAGAGGGAGGGACGGAGAATCTCTGAAACTTTTGACCTACTTCAAAATGGGCACAACTGATAACCTGAGAATACCATTTTCAACCAAACATTTATTACAACATATAAGAGAAACGCCCCTCGTTGGTGTCTCCACATTATCGTGGTGAGGGGGTTTGAGCATGCCAAGGACCCTGAGAGCTATACCAGTGGTAGCTTAGCTACTGGCAGGGCCTCCCTTGCTGGACAGGTCAAAGGGTAGGCATCAGACAAAGAGAGACACCAAAAACTGATGCCAGAAGCAGCGTCATCAGTAGCGACTTGAAGCACAGAGCAAATGATGCTAAAGATGGTTCAAGTTCGTATAGCAGCAGACGTGACCAGAGTCGTTTGAACGGCTGCTGTACTGCGATGTGGAAAGCAAATGGAAAAACTACCACATTATCACTTTTCCTGGATAGTCTCTTTCCAAAAACAGAGATACCATGTATGCGAGATGTTTCCTCTGGAGGCAAAACAATCCGGAGGTAAACTACTCCCCAAATCGGATCTCCGGGTGGGAGTGTTTCTAGAGGAAATGTCATGCAGGCGTTACAAAAAGAAAAAGTGCGAAGATCAGAAGAAACATCATGGATACAAGATTGGAACATGGAATGTAAGGACCTTGAATCAAGCAGGCAAATTGGAGAATTTGAAAACAGAAATGGAGAAGAATGAGGTGTCTGTTCTAGGTATCAGCGAAGTGCGATGGAAAGGGCAAGGCGAAATAAGAAGTGGTGATTATACGGTGTATTATTCCTGAGGTGAACGGGCTGAAAGAGGTGTGGCAATAGTGGTGCATAAAAGTGTAGTGAGGAGTGTTGTTAAGAAGATTGCTTGTAATGACAGAATTATT